TGAGTAAGATTCCTAGTTCCATTGAGGTTTTCGTTGTGTATGACTGTAGAGTTTAAACTATTATTTTGTGTATCGGGCAAAAATGTATTATAGTTTAATGGTGTTGCATCAATGGTGAATGGTATTATTTTTACATAATCTCTTATGTAAGATATCGTACTTATTGCTTGACTTGAGATTGATTGTGGGAAGCTTATAAATGCGGGATGAGACCATTCGGGGTCCCAAACATAATCTGATTGTTCTGTGATAGCGGTATCATCGTTCGAGTTTTGGGGTCTAAAATTTTTTCTTGCTTGTGCAATTAAATCAATATTGTGTGTGAAATAATCTATTATGAACCATGCCAAAATTTTTTGTAGATCGTGTTTTGTATGTTGTGAAACGTCGTTTTTTGTGAAATTTTCTTTAATGATGTTTAAATAACTAGAGAGTAGTGTGATTTCATGTCGTACTCTTAAATGTTTAGATGTTTCTGTCGGTGAGACATTTGTTATTGGGATTTCGTTTTCTAATATCGAAATATAACTATATATTATTGCGAAAACTTCATTGGTGAATATGGAGTTTGCTCTTTGTGAGTTATGATATTGGATGCTTTTTATATATTCTGAAAAAACTTTTGAAAATTCTAAATCAAGATCGTCTGTTTGAATTGTATATTTTCTATTATTATGGTTTGGTGAGGTGAATTCTATGGAGTAGATTCCATACTGTTGTGTTATGTTGCATATATCTTTTAAGTAGTGGTCTATGATTTGTCTTTTGATTTTTACATCTGGGAACTCTGTTTTACATGGACTGATTCCGGGTTCAAATAAATTTAATAGTAAATTTTTGCAAAATATATGCTGTCCTCTATCAGTGGTTGCATCTATTATAAAAGGAAAGATTTCATCATCATCTGGGCTTTCTTCACCTGGGGTGTGCGTTGAGCTCATTTTTTCGTTCGATGACTGTTAATATGTAATTATTGATGTGTCCAATTGGTTGATTCCAATTGTATAAATGTACTGGTTTGTGTTTATACTGCTTTTTTATTCTTCTTTTTCCTCTTTTTGATGAATTTGAAGTTGTTTCTGAGTCAGAAAAATATAATTGATCGTGAAGTGGGCAATTTTTATCTATTGATTCTTTTAGTTTGTAAAGTTCGTCTAAACTGTTGGTTTCTGATTCTGAAAATGCGTTTCGATTTTTTGAAAATCTTTTTCGTGTTATTTGTTTTTGTTTCGTTATTATTTTTCTTTTTAGTGTTTGTCGTTTTGTTCGAATGTATCCAACTGTTTGTGTATGAGGTGTGATTACAAGGTCGTATTTTTTGTTATCTATTTCACAATTGTGTAAAACGATTGTTTGTTTATTTCCTAGGTTTTTAAATGACATAAGGTTTAGGATGACGGATGCAAAAGGTTGTTAAATGATTTCTATTTTCCTAAACTGTTAGTTCTTACGATTTTTTGGTTAGCTTAACCTGGGTCTATTTGTTCAGGGTTGGAGAGAAAAGTATATCGATTCCGAAGAATGATTTTTTACTTTCTCGTGGCTAGTATAAGTTAAGGTGTTAACTTACTTAATCTTACTTAGGGGTAGTGATTGTGTTCAAGGGTTGGAGAATAGTAAATCGATCCACAAGGTTCAGGTATAATTAGAACGCGAGTAGTTCGTTAGATACTATTTTAAACTTACTAAGTCTAAGATTTATCCTGGGTCTAGTAAAAGGAAGTGAAGGATGAATAACCGAAGTTCTTCACTGTTTATCCTAATTTGAATGATTAGTTTTGTTTAAAAATTTCTATTAGTCTTAGGTCTTTAGAAAGGGTTGGGTAGTGAATCGACGTTTGAGGTCGTTAGACACTAATTAAGTGGGTGGGGGAGAACAAAGTTGTTCTGTTTGATCCAAGGATAAGCCTTGATGATCAAATTTGAAATTTAATTAAGTAGAAAATGATTTAAGATCCAAGGATAAGCCTTGATGATCTGGTTTTAAAATTAAGTGAATTTAAGTTTTAATAAAATTTTAAATGTGTGTAAAGGAAAGATTTAGTGTTTTGATGATATTAGTGGGTTTATGATTGCTGTTATGTTTTAGGTGATGGAGCTGGAACAACAGGATGATTTATGATTACTAACCATTTATTGTCATGCTACTAATTTTTATTTTTTATTTTTCAATAAATATTTTTCAAACATGTTTTGTATATTACTGCAGAGTTTTAGGAAAACGATCTTAGATCTTTTCATCAATCGTTATTGTATATTAATAATTTTGTTTAGCGCCTGAAATGATTTTGAAGATTAACTTCAAGGTTTTATGTTTGCAAATGAAAATCTAAATTCATTGCCAGTAGTATTCTAAATATAAAAGTTTGTTCTGGTTTTTGCCTAACTATCATATAGCTATATGGCAAGTTTCTACTTTGTCGTATGTCGTCTCTGGTTCGAGGTCTTCTTCCAATTCCGGGTAGTTCTGTTATGGTTCGGAATATTGGCTCTGATCTATTGAGTCGTAGAGACATTTCGATTAAATTATTGTCGTATAACATTTTGTAAATGTTTTGTCCAAACTCTAATCTGCTAATTCTGCTATCTGATGACCGAGATTTGAATAAAAACATGACTAATAGTGGCTAGTAATCATGGAGACTATGTAAAGATCCCATCGACAATTTACAGTTGTAACACTTTCGGTTAATTTGGGTGAATGATTTCTGTTAATGATAGCCCAGGCCACGGCCTCCCGGGTCGATGTCGGCGAATAACTTTTATAAAACTTTTTCAGTCGCGGAATTGTTGATTCCGCGACCGATAATCCATATTCTGGACAGGATTTTAAGTCTGGACAGCGGAAAAACTCTGGAAATACCGTATCTCGGTCGCGATGGTATGTCCACACCCTGTAAGTCGGTTGATCTATCACGATAGTTCCTGCTTGTCATCAAATTTTCCTTATAAAAATGTACCAAAAATACCCGTTTTTTTTTTGTAAAACCACATCTGGTTGTCAATGCTTTTAAATACTTGTTTTTCTCAAATGTTTTGTGCTCCCGCTTTCTGTCGAACCTTCAAACATTCCTGCATAATGTTCTTCTCTCGTTTAATTATCATCTTCTGTTTTTGCCATCAATTACATTTGGGTTTTTGATAGTATTCACGTTTAATGGTGGCTTTTTGGCTTGCAATAGCCTTTTAGTGTTTGTCGCCCAAAGACGCGCGCAGATTTGATTTTAACCTTCCGTCCAATTTATTTTTATAATTAGCATCGACTCTGCTTGTTAAGACAACACTCGCCGCCAGCAGTATTTAACCCCTTAAGCAGCAACAAAAGTTTTATTCGGATCAATGTCATGTTTACTAACCATGTGAGTTAGGACTGGAGTGTATAACTCATAGAGTAATTTCGGATAGGGTACACCGTCTGCTCGTCACGCTATCTTATTTTCGGCCGGATAGATTCGTGCAACTTCTTAGTCTAATACCGATCCTAATCTTACTCTTATACTATCTAGTCTCAGGTTGTTTAACTAGTCTCTGCTAGGCTCAATAGATCTAGGGTATACTGGTTTATTGCGGCTGCTGAAGTGCTCGGGAGAGTCCAACTAATTTCTAAGTTAAATTCAAATCTCTCTGGTGCTGAAATTACAAGTAACTTCAGCACTTACAAATAAGTGGGTTGTTAGTTAGATGGATCATGATTGGTTAATATTAAATACTTTACATTGGTAAAATATCTAATTTATCCAATCATAAAATGTAGTTTAGATCAGGTTCCACATGCCTCAAAGAATTTAGAGCAAAAAAGCTCCACCACCGGTTTCGGCAACCTTTTTTTGATCAAAATGTCAAACATTTTGAGAGCCTTTCAACGATTTTTTGCTGCCTGCATATATTCTGGTAAACAATTACCAATCGATGCCTAAAAAAATATTTCAAATCCAACTTTATTTCAAATAAAGCAACGGTAAACTACGTTTTGTAAATTTCGCGGTAGCAACTCGTAAGAGGCCATGTTTAATACATTTGGTCAGATACTTCCGAGCAATGTCTTACCGTACAATAACGCAATGTAAAAAATCAAGATTGACTGAGCTTCAAAAAATATAAATTTTCCTCAAAATCTATCATATTAAAAATGTTCAAGTTTTTCAAAAAACTGAAATAATTTGAGTGATTTTTTTCTGAAAATTTCCACCCACACGTTTTTAAAAATAACAAGACTGCTCGTATCAGGGCGAAGCCCTAAATGTTCCGACTGCCTTTTAAGGTTTATGAAGCAGTAATAACATTAAAAAAAAAACAAATTTAATAAAATAAAATGAAATTTTTTTTTCTAAAACTTGAATTATTTTTTTATGAAATCATCTCCCCACACGACTTAAAAAGTACAAAAAAAATAGATTTCGCTATTGTAACAAATCAATTATGGCAAATAAGCTTCTTTCACCCAATTTGGAACGATTTCTATGACGGATTAAATCTCCGCTTACGCGTTAATAGCGCGAAATATATCGCGCTTTAATTGTCCAAAATGGCAATCTTTAAATCCCCATAACTTTACGAAAAATGATCACAGGTGAAATATCTTTTAAAATTTAAGCTCAGGACAACAATACCTTTTGAATGATTTTAAAAAATTCCGTCAAAAATGGCTTAAAAAGTCAAAATTTGTCTGAAGAAAAAAAACCCCACCCCGAGCACAAATACTCCGTTACTTTCGTATCGAAAATCGGAACAATAATTCAAGGCATTACGGAACAACTCAACTCTTAATATATGTAAATAAATTCGCTCCCCCCTAAATACGCCCCTGCTATTATGCATTTCTTTCTCAATATATCATTAAGAATCGGTTCATTAAGAATACAAAATTGTACTGACCAAATAGCGGAGTGAAAAAACAAAGAAATATGTACGATGTGTTTTTCCTCAATTTTGACTATCACAACCTTTAAATTACAAAGAAAAATTGTTTAAGAAAAATCTATTTTGATTGGATTTTTTAGAGCAATCGTCAACTTTCACTGCTTCGAAAACAGCAATCGGATCCCACTCCAAGTTTCCTTCTAAACTGTTCTGTGATCGTCATCCAAACTACGAGCTCAGATATTTCTGTGAAGGCGTCAAATGTAAAACTCCCATCTGTGAAGAGTGCTGGAAAAATGACCACGAGGACAAAAGTCACAGAATCATTCTAATGACGGAGCTGATGGTCCAGATTGAATCTCAGAAAGATATCCAGAAAAGGCTGGAAAATTACAAACAAGAGTGCCAGAAGGTCGCTATGTTTCTGGAAGAGGATTGGAAAAATCTGCTGAAGAATATTGCGAATGCCGAGAAAAAACATCGAGAGGTACTGCGATCCAAATCGACAAACGAGTTAGATGTAAAATCAAAAGAAGTCAAAGAATTTTTACGATTGAACTGGAATGATGTGAACATCTTCAAGTCAAAATTTTTATCTAAAATTGACGACTTGCGAAAAACATGGGAAGATATTTACGGCAAGCGAGTAAAAAATACAGAAAATTCATCACTGAATAGCAGTTCTTCAACTATTGAAAACGCAAAGGATTCGAGCATATCAGAAAAAAAAGATGAATCGTTCTCTTCATCGCAGAATGGATTTGATTGTCTCATTGATACGAATAGCGAAACGATATTTGAGACGCGAGAGAATGATACGGTTGATTATCAGGAAAAATCAGAGTCAAAAAATATAAATAAACTTCCATTGAAGAAGGTGAAAACGGGCAAGTTAGGAAACAAAAAAGTTCCTTTTATAATTAAAGCAGTTTACAATTCAAGCACAAAGGAAGTATTTGGCCTAGCATATCAGCTCTTCAATAAAGGCACTGGCATCGCTGTTTGTAGCATAAACGAAGCAAGACGTAGAGTTATATTCGAAAGAGAGATGAACTGGAATTCGTTGAGGGGGACCGACGATACAGAAGCGGAAAACTTACTTGATATAGCAATGGACGGTGGAAACATACTCTATGGAATCGTACAACGGTCTAAGGACAAAGAAAAAAGATTAGAAGTTTTGGATCAGAACAATTTCGTAAAGAAAGGACAACTTGACACACGTGGAATTGAGAACAAAAAGAGAATTGGCTGGCGTGTTAGTGCATTCGGCGGTACTGTTGTGTTAGCAGTTTATGACTACAAAAAACACACTGAGGACAAATGGAAAAGTGTGACTGTGTTCAAAAATCAACGTAGAGAGCATACGGTTTCTTTGAATATTGAAATTGAAGGCGAAATGTTCTATTTTACTTGGAGACCTCTTTTGGTCAACGCTACAACTCTGCTGCTCTCATGTGGTGTTAATGCCAAGAAAATAGCAGTGGTTTGGTTACCATCTTTATCAAAACATTGCTCATCGGTATCTGATTCCAGCTCAGCGCCGAATTCTAGTTCGGAAACGCAGTCTTCGCAAGCCGATTTAACATCAACTGCTCAAGCGCTTGACGAGCTAACACCTGGTGTTACTTTGAACCCTCAATCAGTTCGGTTCCTTAAGCTGCCAGTAAAAGGAATTATTAGTTCACTTGTGTGGTTAGCATCGGATAACGTGCTTTTATCTAAATCACTCGAAGGATATTTATTCGTCTTGGAACTATACAAAAAGGAAAATAGAACAATATATAAGCATACGTCTTTGTTTGTGTATAAAGTTGATTTCGAACAAGTTTTTTCATCAAAAAATCTCGACGAAAAAGAAAAAACAATACAGCCTATGCCCGAAATCAAAACTCAAAAAGAAAAAATAGTACACTGTACCATTGACAACGCTACAATCTTTGCTACTTACAATGATCAAAAAAGACACATGCGACCAATACTTCTTGATCTAAAACACCAGAAGAAGCTTTGAACATATAAACTCAGAGATTCAAATTGCCAAAAAGCGTATATTATAGTCTCGATGCTTCAAATAACCCAATATTTAAACTCTGAATAGATGATAAACTTATAGTTTTAAATAATTTTAATTAATGAACAATAAATATTCGTTTATTTAGGTGAAATAAGATGTCGCAAGAACTTTAAATAGTTATTAAATAATAACCCAAAATTAAATAATAACCCATTGTCATAGATTCATCTACTAGTGTCTATCAACTGTAAACTCACATCTTTTTTCTCCGCATTAATCCTGATAGGTGGTTAAATGCTTTTTTAATGAGTAGTCATTGGAACTTAACGATGGAAGTTTGAAAAAACAGTGATCGCCATTAATGGTTTAGCACTAAACATTTACACACATAGAAAATGCAGTGCTGAATTATTAGCACTGATTCAGAGCTGGAAAAAAAACGAATCTTTCTGCTGTGAATTAAGGACGATTTCTTGACGATTAAATAGAAATGAGGCAATTTATTACCGACTTAGAATATCTGAATAATTCACACCCATTTACCCCTCGCACATCTTCCCCGTTTGTTCCTCAGCCTTCCCTTTCCCTCTTTCTCCTCGTTTTTATCTCTCCCACCTCGTAAACGTGGTGGGGGGTTGGTATAGTAAGCTGGAAAGGTTAAATAATAATGGAATGCCCCCCCCCCCCCCAATGGCGTGGTGTGTGAAATGTAGGGTTTGGAATGTTTGTGTGTGTGTGTGTGTATGCATGTGTGTGTGCGGGGGCGGGGGGGGGGTTGTCACGTGCATCCCATTTAACCCAACTCCAAAGTAAATCCGTACATCGAATGTCATAAATAAAAATTTGATGGAATTTAATGATTAGAAGGGGAAAAATTATGTTTCTTTATGATCTAAGTTTTATCCAATTTGCACTAAATCTCAGAGGCTTAGCAACGAGTTAACTATTTTTATTGCTATTTTTGAGCTATTTTTTTCTTTATTTCCCAGCCCTAAACTTCGATAATCATTTCTAACTTATCGATGTTTAATGATAAAAAACTGCTAATTCATCGGTCTAGAAACAACACACGGAATCATCCAAAAAAATAATTAAAACTGGATTGGCAATTTTTCATCGATGAGTACTACTGGTAGCTGAACCCGGGCTAAAGAAACCACAGGCCTGAGCTCTTTGATTTTGAAAAACTGCTTATTGATTTTTGGACACTTCTTTTTGTCCTACTTGCGCTTCTACCTAACTTGGAAAAAAGTCAAGAAATTGGTTTCGGTCAGAAATTGTTTTAAAATAAATATATATATTTCGAGACAATAGAATACATTGTTGAGTTTTGTTAGTAAATTGGATATCATGAAATTATAATCTAGGAAATCATTTGAGGCGGGAAAATTAAGTTTAAACGCGTTCTAATTGCTCAATATCTCCATCAGCAGCCATCAAATCCACGTTCATCTCCTTAGCCGCCTGACACAACACACAAGGTAGACAACACCACACTGCAACACAGTCTCCAAGTATGCCCCCCTCTATGCTTTTTTGTTCACGAATCTGAAATAGAAAGTGTTTTTCTCAAACTTACGTGAAATAACTGTTGTTCAGTTAGTTTAGTCCAGGTACTGGTCATTCGATCTCTATTGACTATTAGTTATGAAGCCATAGTCATACTGATATTCAGGGGCGGATTTAGGGGGGGAGGGACAGGGGGCCTCGGACGCACCCTCCCTCAGGGATTCGACCCCCTGCCGACCCAAAGGGCCCCCTTTTGGTACATTTTTGGCCGACCGATCCTACAATTTTTCTAAAAGCGCCTTTGGCGCCAATATATACTAATTTTGAGGGGGAGCGCGCGCCAAAAAAACGCAATTTGTTTGTCAAAATTTTCAAAAAATTGCCCAAAAACGGCTTTTTTGAGCTGTTTTTTAAAATTTTGCATGCCGCGCAGAAAAATTGACCAAAACATAGTCTTTTTGATGTTTAAGGAGAGAGCTCGGAAAGTCAATTTGGTCGACCTAAAAAAAGTCGTCAAAATTTTTTAACATTTTTTTGAAAATCTGCCCCCCCCCCCTTGAGAAAATTCGAGATCCGCCCCTGCTGATATTTAGGATTCATTGTAATGTCGGTGACCTTGAGCAATATAATCGATCAGATTCAGAGGCGGATCTAGGATTTTTTCGAGGGGGGGGGGGGCGGATTTTCAAAAAAGTTTCGAAAATTTTGTCGACCTTTTTTTAGGTCGACCGAATTGATTTTTCGAGCTCTCCCTAAGCTTTGGGAAGAAAGGGAGTCCGACCCCCCCCCCACCCCTCCTAAATCCGCCCCTGGTCAGATTTATTAGTTTTTTGAACACGGTTTTTTTAGTGGAAATCAGTGAACAAAAGAAATCTGATGTCAAAATAAGCAGTTTTAAGCTAATCAACTTCATTTAGCTTGATTGATTGAAAAGATAATGCCAATGATTTGGCTTTAACTAAACAATCATCAAAAGTTTGTTTGACGGACAAAAAAAATAAATTTCTTTAACTAGGGGCGGATTTAGAGAGCGGACGAGGGGGTACAGATGCCCCCTCAGTGATTCGACCCCTTCGCCAATAAAAGAGTCTCCCTCTTGTATTTATTTGTGACATCCATTTTCGGCCGAGCAACCCTAAAAATTTCTAAAGGCGCAATTGGCGCTAATATATACTAATTTTGAAGGGCAGCGTGGGCCAAAAACAAAACAACATTTTTGACCTACTTTTTCAAAAATGTGCCTGCGGTGCAGAAAATTTTTTTCAAATTGGGGTCTCTATAGTGTTCTGGGAGCGCTCGGAAAATCTTTATTCGACCTAAAAAAAGCTCAATAAAATTTTCGAAAATTTGATAGCCCGATCCATAACGGGTCTATGGAAGTCAACCCGAGTGGGGGCTATTCTCATGCGCGAAGGACCGAATGCGCGAAAAAAGTTGTATGCGAAAAATCGAAAACAAAATACGAAATCTCAATACCCCAGTCCCTGGAAATGTTTACTTTCTTTACAAATTTTAGATTACTGAAATCTGATTGGCTGATTTATATTTTCGCGCAATCGGACCTTCGCGCATGAGGGATTCCACCAACCCGAGTAGCTAATTCAGTTAATGTTAACAGGAAAAAAGATTCGTTGCGTATAGAATTATATTTAAGTAATTTAGTTGTACGTGTTGACTTCCATAGACCCATAATGTGCTTGTCACACCATTCCGAGCACCTGTCATCAATTGTTGATGAATTGTTTCAGTTAAAACCCAAAATGGCTAACTAGAAGCATGTCTGAAAATATTAACTTTTAATTTCCGTTTAGACAACACGTTTCAAGATTCGTTATTAATTGATAAATGATTAAATATTAAATCGAATATGTAACAAAAAACAGAGTTTTTATAATAGGATACACATTTTTTTTCTTTCGGATAGAGCAAAGAAAGACGCAGACACGTGATGCAATTTCGAATCAAGAATGCAATAACTATTTCAGATCCGAAACAGGTCAAAATAACAATTTGACGACCTTCAAAGCATTGCCCCAACATTAAGTAAGAGGTCCTAGAGGTAACAGAATAAATCGATTTCACAAGAATTGCTTTTTGAGAATGACTTATCATTGCTTTCGGATTATATCACCTTCTTGGGCACCAGAAAAAAAAATAATTGAACGAGCAGTAAAAATTGGGTTAATTAGGATAACGCTTGAAAAAAAGTGTCACAAAACGTTCACCTAATCTCCGTAACTCCAGGAGCAAAAAAACATCAAAACATTGAATGCTAGCAGAACCCAAGCATTAAGTCCCAGATTAGAGCCAACCCTACCGGTGAACATCCAATCGGGACTTGAATAAGCTGCCTCCTATAAATACAAAAGCAAGCATAAAACAGGCAGGTGGTGAAACAAGGATTGGATTCATAATGAATCCAAGACAAACATTTGCATTGCAAAACAATTCAAGGAAAGAAATAATGAGTCGACAAACGCCTAAAATAAGCATAGAGCAATAGGAGGAACGCTCGATAAAAACAAAGGAACTAAATTATGCAAAAATGAAGGACATCATCAATGAACCAGAATTCGAAACGCTACGAAGGGATACAGAACAGAGGTGCCTTCAAGGGAAAGGAACACTCATGAAAACAGAAGACACACAATCTACCAAAAAATGACGTTCAAAATGCTAGATGAAGACTTCTTAATTTGACGACTTCTAGATGCAACAAAAACATGAGAATGTAGAACTGGTGATTCTTCTGTAAACTCGACTACTCGCAAATTTGACGTGGACAGCGTCACCTTGAGTATATTGAGGTTTAGAAGTGTACGCTACGATAGTTTAAAGGCCCAGTAGAACAATTATTAGCCTGAAGTAAACTAATCAGGATAACCAAATTTTAGAGAAAGATCAAGCTTTAACGTCATTGTCGATACTTTCAGAAAAACCGACATTTAATTCTTTGTAAACATGTAAAAACAGCTTCGCCCTCTCCAATGACGTTCATAGCCCTCATAGAGCAAGTGCACGAAGTCAACTCACTAGAAGATGTCAACTTGGTGGAGATATCAAAAAATGCATCAAACACTTATGTATTGTGATCAAGGATAACACCCGCAACCGCAAAAAGCGGATAATCCAAAAAACATTCAAGGCGGATCACTTTCATGATCCTCATAGAGCACATGACGAAGCCGGCTCAATGGAAGGCAAGAAATTCAGAAAGGTTGTAAGAAATTCAAGAGACCCTCGTCAACACAGCAAGAAAAACTCAGATATTTTAGTGCCGATCTTTCTTATGGCTCTATTAAGGCACAGTTGCAGCAATTGTAGACCTGACAAAAGCCCTAGGTAAGTAGTCCTCATCATAGACTTCCTTAAGTCTTTTCTCGGCCCCACTGAACGCTGGGAGAAAAAATGGCCAGATGGGATATGATAGATAACGGCCAGATAAGTTGTATGTCATAATGTGAACCAAATCTGACTAGTTGGACCGGAAGTTACTAGCACTTCGGAAATATATCCTTTCGATCCCAATTGCGCAATTTAGTCAAAATAATGAGCAATTCGATGCAATTTTGTTTTTATGGCCGCAAATACACTAGAACTCAACCCCGACAAAGAACCCCTAGTGACTCCAACTCTCCGGCAAACACTTCCACAGTTAATAAGCCTTCTACGGGAAAGTGATAACAAAAATTAGGACCCCTATAAAATTTTGAATTTGACGTAAGAGTTTGACTCCGGTTGACAAAGGGTGTGACCTATAAATGACCTTTGGGCGTTTATTACCAAAATTCCGTAAAAACCCAGAGATTAACACCGGAAAGTGGCGTACTCCCCAGTCCCAATTTGAAATCGGAATCGATCAGCGCATTCGGAATCGCCAATAATTCGAAGAATGTTATCTATTGGGAACTAAACAGAAACAGTTATTTCACTGTAACATTGGAGTAAAGAATTGAGTGAGAGTGGACGTGGCAATCAGTGAGTTCTGTGAATATATTATTAATAGAAATTAAATTAGACGAAAAAAAAAGTCACATTGAAAATTGACAGTAACAGAAGCATGGCATGGGAAAAATATCCCCTAAATAACATGAAAGTACGTGATGATTACTCAGCTTCCGGGATGTGGGTTTTGGCATAATTTAATTCCTAAGAAGCAAATTACGTTCCCCTGATAGCTAGAAGGCCGGGATTGGAATAGAGTATAGATGGGAATTATGGATGGCTTGCGAAAACTCTAAGAGAAAATTCTCCATCCAAGACTTCCGGAAGTCGTTTCTCAGCATCCACGGAACGCAGCGAACTAAAAATTTGCAATGTTACAGCTAATGGCAAGATAAGTCGTATGCATAATGTGAACCAAAATTGACAACAAGATAAACTCAAAAATTTTTGAGCCGATCACCCTCATGCTACATCAGGGCACAATTGCAGCAATAGTTGACATGACAAATAACTTGAAAGTACGAGATGATTAGTTAGCTTACCAAATGTAAGTTTTTGGCAAAAATTGACGCTTAAGAGGCAAATTTTGTTCCCCTGACAGCTATATGGCCGCGATTAGAGTATAGTTTAGATATATTTAACTTGCCTGACAAAAGCTATAAGTAAGAAGTCTCTATCCTGGTTTTCGGGAAACCGTTTCCTGGCATCCACTGAACGCAGGAAGCTACAACTTTGGGACACAAAACTTTTATTTCAATAGCGCGCTTCCGAGGGAAGGTGATAACATACCTATTAAAGGACTAAAATAGAAAGTGTCACTGAGATATGAACGAAGCTTGGTGGGTAGGAACCCTAAAAAATCTCGAACCCGAATACTGAATAATGGTGTCGTCGGGATAACCTTTAAGAGACCTTTAAGCGTTTTTGAGCAAAAATGCGTGTAGAGCTCAATATTAACATATGCAAGTGGCGTACGCCCCAGTCCCAACACTATCAAAATGTGATCGGCTACATTACTAATTATTGGAAACATTTCTATCTAAAGAGCATTAAAGTAGAAACTGAAAGGACAAAGCCATTACTTTGTTTTACTGGAGTAGTACATTGAGTAAGAGTAGACTTGGCAAATATTGAGCTAAACTCAGCTTGTTGATTATGTTATCAATAAAACTCCAACTAGACGAAAAAAAATGCCCTCGAGGAAAACACTATTAATAGGAGCGTGGCATGGCAAATTGTTCTCCTTGATAACATGATTGGACTGGATAATTATTTAGTTACGGAGGTGACTCGTTGGCATAGTTTGAACCCTTATTACGTTCCCCTGATAACTAGAAGGTCGGTATTGAAATGAACTATATATGAGAACTTTAGATGCTTGAAAATTTGAAATAGCCACCCATGAAAAGGTTTTTCTCCTACCGCGGAAAGTCAAAATGTTAGTGGGATAAATAAGTAAAATCTTTTGGCGCCTAAACATATCTCAGTTTAGAGGAGAAATCGGACTTGATAAATACAAAGAATTACATTAGGACAATTGTTGATAGAAGAAGAATTTGGTTAAAAACTTGCCTAAGATGCTCCAAAGTACATGCCAGCCCTTTTAGTGTCGACCATAACTCTCAAACTATAACTAAAATTCAAATAGGAATTGAATTAAAAATTAGAAACAGCCTACTTTCAGAAACAACAGTTGTAAGGACGTAACGAGATTGTTGGTTCTCATCAGGAGAGAACGCGTTTTACTAAACCAGAACTTAGTTTTTTCTAACCAGAGTGATTGTTGAAGTTAGAAGAGTCTGTGAAATTACCTCAAAAGAAAAGTTATCTGTGGATACACTATTTTAGCAGGTCAAACTGAGTTGGTGTAGGGAACTACTGATTGTAATTCGTTAATTGGGAATCTCTATAGAAGGAGAATCCTTTAGTTGAAGTGACTGGAAAATGCAATGCAATTAGGCATTAGTGCTGATGAATCGCTGACCCTTTCCTTCGACTAGGTCATTAGATTATTTTCCGGCCACTTAGAGCCTCCTGTATTTGGACTTAAACTTATTTGAACTTAATTACAAAAGGAAATTCCTGCGATCGTTAGAGCGGACAAAACAGCCTCAAGAGCAGCACAAAAAGAGGCACAAAGCGTAGTACAGTACAGAATACTTGCCCTCAACTTAACCTTTTCATTCAAAAGATTGGAGGAAAAAGTCGAAAGAGAAAGGAACGATTAGACCGGTCTAGCCGATTGGGAAACAAACAGAGAAAATCAACGTGAAGTAGTCAGGACTCTAATAGAGAAAAAGCCTGGACAAAACAATTCTCTGAAAACCTGCTTTATTCATAGGAGGCAAATTATTCTGCCGGATCTGAAAAACCAATTTTAGATGCTGATCTGGTGTTACCTCTGAATTTTAGTCAAAAATTATTTGGATTTCAATAATTATCCTAAACTTTGAAATCACTCTAACCTTGTTAATAAACTGCAGAAACTTTTTTAATGCTCTGATTTTTAATCAATTCAGTTCTCAATCAAAATTTTTATAAGGAGCCTATAAGGGTTAAATTACTTGATATATAGGTTTTGATTTGGAAAAGTTAAAGAAGTTTTGCTGTATTATTCTACAGTTTTTCTTATCAATCCCGAGCTCTCTGAAAACACCAAAAAAGACCTGCTTTGACCACAAACACCCCCTCTTCAAAATTCATCCCCCCTTTTTACTGTTTTTAGATGTCATTTTTGGCGACTGACCTTAAAAAACGGCGTTATAAAAAACTAATTTTGAATGGGGAGCAGTCGCCAAAAAAACGCAATTTTTTGGTCAAAAATTTCTCAAATAAGCCTAAAACCGCGTCTTTTTTTTAAATTTGGCCCGCGGCCTACAGAATTTGGCCATGACAGGGTCTTTTTAGTGCTTTGGGCGAGCTCAAAAAAATCAGATTGGTCGACCGGGAAAAATGTCGACAAAATTTTCAAAAATTGTTTCAAAATCCGCATCCCCCATCGAGAAAATCCTAGATCCGCCTTTTTTCATGCATAAAAAGCAATTTATGAGATTTTACTATTTGCTGATATTGGAAGTGCTACAGAATACGAAAGTAACAGTAATTTTTTGGAACAAAAACTTAAATATGAAGTGATGGAAAATATCTTCTTATTCAGCTTGTTACGTGAGTCAATGTTCTCAGCCACTTACTACCTGTGAATAGGATGGAGGCGGAGCAAAAAGCAGAATGGTCTCAGAGCAGAATGGGTCCAAGAGCAGAGCAACAGAAAAATATTAACTTTTATTGACAATAACAAGAAATGAAATAAGAAAATGAAATCAAATAGAAAATGACTAAAATATGCATGTTTTGAATAATTTTATCAACTTTTTATAAATTGAATTTAAAAAAAATCTCGATTCAATTATTCAAATTATGCATAAACTATTGCTTATTAGGTAATATTGACAATTCTCATACTTAAATTCCCGATTAGCGTACAAAATTCGATATTTTCCTGTTTTTCTGCTCTTGGACCCATTCTGCTCTTAGACCATTCTGTCTATTGACTGGCCACCGAAGAGAACTTTAATAGCAAGAGTTCAGACCTGGGTACTGACATCGACTAAGCTTCTACGAACACTTAATCTCGTTTACAATTATTCCCCCCTCCCTTTCTTGAAAGGTGGGGGTTGTAAGTGTATCCATCACATCCTACCTTTCCTCTGAGGGAGATTGGGGCTATGAGGTTGATTAGGGGGATGAAGAAGATGATTCCCCACAGAAGACATCCGTCGCCCATTGCCTCAGCCACTTTACCTGTGAACAAACAGAATGCGGCACAGAATTTTTGTGTTTTTTTGGATCTGTTTTTAGGATCCGTTAAATGGAGATGCCGCCCGTCACGCCAGGGGGGGATCTAGGATTTTCAGAAAAAAAATACGAAATTTTTTTAAGTCGACCAAAAATCACTACAAAATCCCTTATTCTGAAATTTTTGAAAAAAAAACATTCTGGAAGCTTTCGACCAAAAAATCGCGTTTTTTTGGCACGCTCTCCGCCCCCTCCCCCTCAAAATTAGTATATAATTCAAAGGCGCCTTTAGAATTTTTCTTAGGTTTAGTCAGCCAACAATGGATATCTCAAAGTAGTACAAAAAGGCGTCAACCCCCCCCCCCCCCCTTCCCCTAAATCCGCTACCGCGTCAAGCTGATGACTTTTTGGTATTCTCCCAAGCCAAAATAAATTGTTAACGTACCCTTTTTTTAACTATTTTTTGGCTTGGAAATGAAATTTTTTGATTAGAAAAAAGAATAAAGGCAATACAAAATTGATTTGATCAGCTGAACTTCTATTAAGGAGTGTGAAAAATTTTTTATGAATATTTATGAAAAGTTTTTTCAAAATCAATTTAGGGAAAAGAATTCGTCTTGATTCATTTATATTGATTAACTCAAATCGTGAGAAGATAGATCGTGAGAAGATAAAGAAAAACTAAGCTTCTTTAAAAAAAAACTTTATACTTTTTGAAAAAAAAAATGTTTCAGTTTTAGTTTGCTGAACATTTGCTTTTCTAAAACATTTTATAAAATTTCTATTAATAAAATATGTCATTTTAACAAAATTGAACCAATGATTCGACACAACAATTGAGATAGAAATTAGTTTCAGTTTTGGGTTTTGGCCATTTGAAGCTCAAGAAGAAATTTAATTAAAAAAATGTTGTCAAAAAATGAATAAAAAATGCTACAATTTTAGTTTTTTTAAATATATCTCATGTACTAGACTTAAACGAAGCAACTAAAACACTTGTAACTGAGAAAGAATTAGAAAAGTGTTTTAGGAATTACAAGTGCCTTCTTTTTGGTTGATCGATTCAGAAAAGAAGGCTTGTTACTGCTTCTCAACTTAATTAAGGCTCTCTTATTAAAACTGAACTTTCAATCCCGGAAAATAAAAAAATATCAAGTCCAAATGGATGATTTTACTTTTATTGTATATATTCTTGGTGATGAGTTTTTATATGCGTCGACTTTTTGAGATGTGGATTAGACGTACCTTGTACATAGCAGGGTAGAAAATATGTGCATGCGCAGATTTTCATATCGCTGAAACAGCTGAACAATCCTTCGTTCCATTCGCCCATTTTGCTCTTGTCGACTTATGTTATTTTCGGCTTTGTTGGAACGGAAAAAACCAATTAATGAAGGACTGACTTGATTTTGGACAGTTTTCTACCAAATTAAATCAAGTTATGATTTCTTATTGTTTGGTTAATATTTCTCCAAAGTTTGCCAATTTGGGCTATCATTGTTTTCGGTTTGGATTCTTGAAAAGGATATAAGACTTCATCTAAAACAGGTAAATTTTGTTTCGTTTTGGCGGCCTTTGTTAACAAATTTGACTGAATTTCAAGGTTTGGTTGATTTTCGGCTGTCATAGGCTGGGATTAAAATACTTCAGGCGGGTTTTTGTACAGTTTGCACAACCTTTGTATTTTGCCCAAATATTTGATTAATTCGCAATGTTTGGCCATAAATTTGCTAAAGGTGTTTCAGTTTCTGGTACTTTTACAAATGGTATACATTTTATGACGCATTGATTACCTTTTGAGCAAACTTACTCAAATCTTAAATCATAATGTTTGACCGTGTTATTCATCATTGCACTATTTGGGTTGTTGGTAAAAACTATGATAGCTTATAACCAACATAACTAGATCGTGTAATAAAGCAAGTATAACAATTCATATGTTAAAGCATTCATTTTATTTGACAACTTTCGACTTTTGTCGATGACTAAGTAGTCAATATTAAGTATTTTTCCGGATGATTAAACTTTCTAAAGATTTGTTTCAAAGGCCTAGAAGAAAAAAATGATTTTTAAACATCTGCTATCCGCCGGGTTCAAATCGGCAATATAAATACCACATTAAATTCAGACTCAAGCAAATAAAACTCATATTTATACTTTTGATGTTACCCAGTTTACAATCTTAGCTTTTGTAAAGCCCAGTGCTACTCTTGAATTATCCATGAAACATGGCTATTTTGCCAAGATCTTGCAAGATCTTGGCAATATAACCATGTGACTTTCCAAAATCTATACATGTCAGATATATGCTCGCGAAAAAATAATTTTTCAAAAGTTGAGGTCCAAGATCTTTTCAAAACATACATGGTATCATGGACCTGAAACTCCAGACAACTTAAAATGTGACACATCAAAACGTTTCAACCGGAGCAGTGGCTCGAGCTAACTGATCAAAAAAGACCAAGTGACTTAATCGAAAAAAAATGTATCGGTCTGACACCTTGAAAAAATCTCACTTTTGAAAGAAAAATTCCAATAAAAACAAAGCTGCTTTGTTTCTCTCTTTTGCTTCAAATTGGAGTATTGGATGTTTTTATTGAATATACGGGTGCGACCAACTACGCGTTTTTAAGCTCTGCTGATAACAAAAAATAGTAAGAAAGTTCCTATAATTTAATAAAACGACCAAAAAAAAGAAGTACCTGAGCCCTGGCTATCAATTTTTTCAGACTGTACAAAATCCGTCAAAAGTTGCTTGTTACTTTGTATTACTGCGAGAGAAGAAGGACTCATTTCACATATAACTTGTTATTCAACAAGTACCAAGCAGCAGCAGTTCGAGGAAAAATTTTAGTTAGGTATTGAAAATACTAGACATCAAGTTGAAATTTATTGGATCCCTGCTATGCCAAAACTAATTTTGTAATCTATCATCGCATGTGTTGAAATAGCTAATTTGATAAGTTGAATTAAATCCCAAGCTTACCAATTTAATTGTATCAGTGATCAAAATGATAAGGGTTGATACCTGTTGATGCTACCTGAAGGCTAGCATCAAAAGATAACATATATGATTGACAGCAAGAATAAACATATAACCTAGAATAAGCTTGAATGGCTAATTTGAATGACTATGACATTACCTCTGGTGAAACGAAATCTGAATGAATAGTATGAAATAATAACTGTTGAATGAAAACTTTAGCTACTCAATTGAAATCTTTTGGCAACAATGATAACAGATTTAAACTGATTTTTTCAAGTTTTCGACCGTCAATAGTCGGCTTTCTCCCTGGTCCGTAGAGTTTTAGATAGCTTTTAAATATACTCAGGCTCATTTTTTGTCGCCGCTTTAAAAATATGGTCAATATTGACTGCACCTACTTTCCATTCAACCGTTTGTTTGCGCCCGCTCCGTTGTGACTCCGTTTCATCTTGGCTGCTGGTAGAATCTTAGCTTTTGTAAGATACAAGCCTATTTTTTCGCCCTTTTTCTTACGCTCGACTGCCGCCGAAGTTGGTTCAGATTGCGCCGCCGATTGCTTTGCTCGTCGAATACTTTGTACGTTCTCTTCCGCTCCTCGCCCGACTTGATTCAAATCTCGCTTGTTTCTCGATTAATTTCAATTTTCGCTCGCTCCGTCCCTTTGCTCGCCCCGACTATATCGTTCACGAATATGATCAGAGTTTGCGGCTCATTCCTGCTATCATTCCTGCGGCTCATTCCTGAATCTTGGAAAATTTTCCGCCGGTTCCCTCCGCTCGAACGGTTGGGGTAGTAAATGATTCCGAGGATTTTGCTTGTGGTTGCCATTCAGGTAAGACTGAAACTGCGGGTTTTTTCTTATAATTCGTTTGCACGCTAGTGGCCTGTCGTCGTTCGATTCCGAACTCTACGCGTCATGATTTCCACCCTTTTCCGCTTGGTTGCCTGTTTTTGCTCTCTGTAGTCACTGTGCGTATTTTGATGCTTTTATAAGCCTGTTTTTTTTCGCAGCTCCTTAGGCGTTGGTGCGCTTTTGATTGAGCCTGACGTTCGATTTATCGGCGTGTTGCTTTTTTCCTAATGGCAACTCCAGATTTCCTAAATCGTCTACCGTTACTAATTTTTAGTGTGTGTGTGCTTTCCGCGACTGTTTTTGTTTTATGCAACCTAGACTTGTTCAGATTTGCTCGTTTGTGCACTGGAAAGTTGCTCTTGGCGGGCTGCCTCTGTTTTAAGTAAGTCAATTGATTGGGCCGTTGGCTCGTTCTCTTGGTCGTTGGCCTGTTTGTCCGTCAAATGTTGTGCGTGGTTCCTCAGACGACCACGTAGTTCGAGACCGATCGATCGCCCCAGTATGTATACAGGGGGTGTGGCATTGATTGCGCCGCCGAGTCACTCGCTTCTAAACAAGCAGGTTTAGATTTTAACGTTTGACCAGTTTTTTAAGGGAAGGTTTTTTCCGTTAAGTTTCTTAGACTTGTGTTTGCTTACCGACCGTGATGAGCCTCGAATGGCGTGATCTTAAGCGTTTCGTTCAACCAGCAACGTAAGGTGCCGAGGGCCCTTTCAAGCATTTACTCCAAGGGTTTCGGTTTTTTCTTCTCGAGCAAATGTTAGTATTCAGTGTTTCAGGCTTCCTATTGTTCGCTCATCGCATCCCGTGGCACGATGATTATTCACTGGCGATTTTACTATTTCGATGCCATCTCCGTTGCAGAGAAATTTTACTGCCCTTGACATGAAATTAAGGCCTTGGTAGACATCAATCGTTTCTTGGATCCCATGATTGATTATGTAGCTTTAACGAAATTTAAGAACGTTGTCTGCGCAGTATGTATTGCAAACCACTGCTGATGGCCATCGTGAATACGTATCTACTGCTACAATTAAGTTTTTCCTCAATTAATTGAAGTGATTTTTGGTACCCCAAATTCAATTGCCTCGTTAGGCTCCCTCAGTTCAAGAATTTTTACAAAGTCACCCTTGGCTCATATAAACTTAGGATTCTTACCCGCGAATATGCTTTTATGCAGTTCTCGCCCCTTGACGCGATGTTCATGAGGATGTACGGATATCCATGGCCATCGTTAGCGTATTAGACTTCCCGTCGTGGTAATAGTGGAGCTTGTTTTTATCTGCTTTATCTAACGTATTCGTAGTGACCAGCTTGTCAATCAGCGAGAGGCAAATGTCAAAAACGTGAAAACCGCTAGCAAAATAAAAATTAAACTTGCTCATATCATTAACTTTTGAGACCAATTTGAGGTCTTTGGATTTAACCTTTTCAAAAGTCGCCTCAAACTGGGGTTCGCGTATTGTGGTTCAATGAAACGAAGATTGAATAATTCAAGGAGTGATGAGTTTTTGGGAACTTTGCAGTTTCTGGGAACAATGGACATGATTTGGTTCGATTGGTCAATCGAGGTAAAGAAATCTCCAGGAAAAGTTTAAGGAATGGAAAAACTTTGTCCGATTTCGTATTTGTGGCTTCCGTGATAACGGCATCAATTTGAGATTCATTTAATCTTTAAACTCCTAATTATGGGCTACTTTCAATGCTGGGGTGTTGTTCAAGGAAATTCTAAAACTTTCTGAAAAATTTTTCCATTTCTTCGGCTCAATGTAATTTACTTAAAATTCCTGCATAACGATCTTAAGAGATACGAATTGTCCTAACTAAACTTAAGAAATTGTCGCGTAGCTTTCGATTTGTGCAAATTGATGTCTTGTGATGTAGTGGTTTTGTATTGCATGATAAATTGCGCTCCATTGGCAGGTTTGAGTTTCGAATTTTGAATTCATAATTTTAGTTAGCTAAAGTCTACTCGTTCGCGATAATTTTCAATTTTCTGTCTAATCTGTCGAATAATTAATTGTTTTTAAATCCGAGGGCGCTACAAAGTGACGTTCTTTTTGCTACCATAAAAATGCTATCGTAGATCAAAATTGGATTAGCTTCGCTATTTGGGTTTCGGGAGAGGTAATCCTGCTAACCCGATTTAAACCCCTGGCTTCTGCTCCACCTTCGAATCGAATGGTAATAGACAATCGAGCCATCTTGTTGGCCGGCTGAACATCGTCTTGTTTTCTTATTGTTACCATTTAATATCGATACGAGGGCTTTGCGATCGGTTATGACTTGAAATGGTCTGCCCAGTACGTAAAAGCAAAAATACTCTGCCTCAATACTACCGCTAGCATTTCGAGCTGGTTTGTCGAGTATTTCTTCTTGGCATCCTTTAGATAGTGTGAAGCGAACGAAATCGGCCGGCTAACCTCGGAGTTGAGCTGCTGTAAGACTGCTCCCAGTCCGTTATGTTTAGCGTCGCACACTATACTTATATCTTTATGGACATCGAAATGTTTAAGTTCTACTACATTCGCCACTTGCGTTTTAAATTTCCAAATGCGGCTTGCATTCTTGTTTCCATCGGAATTCATTTTTCTGGCTTTGTAACAGCCTTAGCGTTGCTGATGATTCCGAGAAAGCCGGGAGGTTTTTTGTGCAAACTCTGTACTGACCCCATAAAGATTTTAGTTGTGTGAGTGTTCCGGGCAGTTAAGTGCTTTGATTGATCCATTTTTCGGACTAGCGGCGTTACTCCGGCTGGCTTTATTTTATGGCCGAGCATTCGCATTCTTTCTGGGCAAACCTACATTTAGTTAGCTAGAGTGCCATATTTTCTTTGTCTAGCGTCTGCAAGACTTTCTCGACAGTTGATTTGTGTTCTTTCTCGCACCGTTTCGCTACCGCTTGGTTGTCGTCAATGAATGCAAGTGCCTCCGTATATTCTGACAATGCCAATCTATTAACAATGAAATTCCGCCGGCATAATTGTCATTCCGTAGAAACCAGTTTTGAGTCGGTAGATTCCTGTCGATCTTCCCTTAATTAACAAAAAATTGCATTGAACAATCTTATCGGGACTGAGTGGTATTTGATCGTGCGCATGATTGTTGCTCGGCTTTGCTTTTCTCGTTGCTTGAGTATATGAAACCATCGATATAGAAAAGACTTGACATTTCGTGTAAGTTGTCAATTTCCAATGATTCGGCCAGTGCAAATATGTCACAATACCTTGTACATGGTAAATAATGAAAATACTAAAGCTTCTAAAATCAATTCAAGTAATTATCAATAAAAGCGTCACTGAATAAAAAAGCAAAAACTAGGCAGAGCGTCGGAACATTTAAAAAACAAACTTTACCAGACGTCGATGACATACGTTGTCTTTAACCAACACCTTTGACAATTCTAAGCAGTCAAAACTGCCAAAAAAAAGATCAGTCGTTAATTTTAATTTATAATGGTAATCCGCCTCAAAAATGGTGGATTATTGATTAGGGATATTTAATTTAAAAAAATAGGCTTAATCACAACAATGCAGCCAATAAAAAGTTTAAGAATCTTATTAATACTTCTGAAAACCAAAAAAAAACTAAAATTCCAAATTTTGGAAATCTTTAATCCGATGAAAATATTCATATTGAAGTCAAAACTACTTTTTCCCAAAAATTGCATTTTAGTTTTTTTTTTGGTTTTCAGAATTATTAATATCATTATTACAATTTTTAGTGGCTGGATTGTTGTGATTATGGCTATTTTTATTATGATTAAATACCCCTAATCAAAAATCCACCATTTTTGCGGCCGATCAGCTCCATAATTAAAAAGTGACAATTAATCTTTTTTAGCAGTTTTTTAGGTAAATAAAATAGCTCATCTTTTGAAAATAACACAGTTTTTATAAACTATTTCTTTAAAAAGGTTGAGCTTTTGGTCTCATGAATAAAAAACGTTCAAAAAATTTTCCATATTTGATTGTTCTAAAACTTCTGGTTTTTGTCGGAACTCATATCCATAATTTTTGCTGCTGAATAAAAAGAAATTGTGTGTAAGCAGCTTGATCCTTTTGACTTTTTGTTCTTGTTAAAGCATGAAATCATCGTGACTTAAATTTCAAAGATGGTGTTATGTTTATCCAGCTTTTTTAAACATTGAATGTATTCATAAAATCCTCTTTATGTTTCAGTTTCATTGTTCCATTTGAACAAGCGAGGAGTTTCCTGTTCGATAGTCGTTCGGCAAATCAAACGAGACCGTCGATATTTTTCGATTCGGCTTCTTCGTTTTTTCTATTCTGCTTGAGCCGGCTAGTGGATTCTAGAGTTTCGTCAATTGCATTCTGTGCAGTTTGTAGATATTCTAAGTTAGAGTACGCCTCTCTGGATAATTTTCTGATGGAGTTTTCGGGTTCGGTATAAATGATGTTGTATCGAGAGTTCTCCGGCTTCTGAAAAAATAAACGCATTAACTCCGATTATATTTTAATGAAACCATGTGGCAGAGTAGCTTTTTGTCTTATACGGTGAGTAACAGTTTAATTTATTTGCCAAAATTAATGGATCTACTTCAATTTGCCCCCCCCCCCTTCAAGAAAGGGGGGTAATTGTTAACTAGATTCAGTTGTCGAATTTTTGACCAAACAGATTGCAGAAAAGTTTGATTTTTTTAAGCGTAGCAACTTTTTAGTAGATACCAAAGGGAGAGCGATTGTTAAATAGGTTCATATTAATTTCAAAAAAAATTTGAAACTGAAAAGAAGAAAAAGTTCGAGCTATTCTGATAAAATTTCGAAAAATTTGCACCGCGTATCATTTGCCAACTGATTCATTAAATGTCTGCGTCCAACAAATATAACTAGTTTTTTCATTGTAGAAGTTAATTGATGACGTGTGGTACCAAGGAATTTTCACAAGGTACCAATATTGCGGTTGAAAATGGTCAGGCTGTGGTTAATCTGATGCTGCAAGTCAACCACAGCTAGAGGTCTTACAAATCTGACTCCCTCAAAATGAATGACTTACCATTATGCTAAGTGCCTCTAAATGTTCTTTTCTCAACTTTTTTTGAATTACTGTTGCACCGCCGCACAACAAAATTTTACTTAAAATCATTTTCGGTTAATTTATGTTTCGCGTTTTGTTTCTTTTTTAATCAATTTTGATTATAAAGTAATGATGGAAAGCCTAAAATAATTGAATTTGTGTTTTAGACTTAAAATTATGTCATCTTTTTTTGCCAAACTAACTCGAACGTTTTGGAAAAACTTACGTTTGAATCATGTGACGAGTTATTTGCAAACCGCTCTGCTATCTGAATTCTAATTTCTATGGTCACTATAGTTATGGTCAATGCGAGCACCATGATTCCACACACTATTAAGGCCATAGATATTGATTTACTTCTCACAACTTGTCTGCATTGCATTTCTTTCTGAAGCTCATCACTACCCAGAAGACATAAAGGACCCCAGATTAGCCCAACGACGCCAGCCAGAAAGATACCTGGAATTAAATTAAAATTTTTTATTTCGATATCCAAGCCGATGTTTGTATAGTTGTTTAAGGACGAAAATTTTTCTCGGGCTGACGACAGCTGTCTTGCACTCGCAAGGGGTCTTTTCGGTTATAATCCCGAAAATAGCGAAAAAAGAAAAAATTTTAACATCCAAAATTTATCGATATCAGTGAGAAAGGCAAGACAGAAATATACGACAGGTGAAAACAAACAAGTTCACTTGATTAGGCTTCAAACTGGCTCGCTTCTCTTATTTTTTTGTCGTTTTCTCCACAAAACTTTCATAAATTGAAGCCCCAATACGTTTTTAGTTTTATTCTCGGCATATTCTCAAACTATGTCAACGCTCAGAAAAACTGCAAAGCATTTGTAATAAAATTTAAATCAGTTATGTACAACTAGTGTTTCGTAAAACTTGAATTTAGACAATTTGTTATAAAGTCGTTTTTGTTCCTCAGTTTTTTTTGTAGCTCAGTTCTATTCGGTGTTTATTAGGAACTTTTCTAATTAAAACATTAGAGCTTTGGTACTCAAATTAATAAGTTTTGCCTCCAATTTGGTTGACAATTTCGAATTATCTTCCTTCTTTTCTTTTGGTTCCTCCAACTCTAGCGGTACTATCCATGCTGCGTTCCACTTTCTGAAAATGTCAAGTGAGGAATACCCAAATTTCCTCCAGAAAAGTGTCTTTGCAGTAAGACGAATCGTCTTTCGTTTGGCTTGTCTGTTCTAGTCTCAAATGAAGCTAACTTCATTCTCCACGCCTCTAAAGTCACCTCAATGAGTTCTGTATTGTCCTCTTCCGTGGTAGTCATTCTTACTGAATGCTTGATTGATCGCCAACTCTCTTCGGTCCTTGATTCTTGTTGGCACTCCGTCTGATCTTGGACCCTGCAGTGTCCTTCTGATATGTTTCATCTGAATAGCCGATGTCATTTATCACTGCTGTTCCCACAGTTTCTTCCCCGGGTCAACCGTTTGTGGTGAGAATTTCCTCTGCTGTATTCTGAACACCTCGTGTCAATATTTGGTCTGCCATCTTCTCGCAATTTTCTGGTACCATGCCTTGGTTCTGGAATCCGTCAAATATATCCTTTGGAGGTGTGTCACGATTGATCTTTCTCAGTTTTTGGTGGACAGTTTTTTCGGAGTGAAGCTGCTAGGTCTTTCATCAGCACTTTCATTTTGTGACTTGTGGTGCGTTGCTTTTGCCTTTTCTTGCGCTGCATTGGCAGCTGTAGCTTTTCTAGCCATTTGAGCTGTTTGTTTGCGTTCATTCTTCTTAATTGTAACTTCCTCCTGAGTCTCAGGCAAGAGCTTGCCTGTCCCGCGTTATTTGGCCTGGCTCTCCTGATTGCTAAATTGAGACCTCCCCGACCTCCCCGGTGTCCTTCGACGTTACAACTGATTGACTTGCTTGAAAATGTTCCTGAGCAAGTTTTTGTACGTTTGGCCGCTGCTGTTGCAGTGTTTACTCCTCAGAATCCTCTAGTGGTGTTTCTATTTCTTTGTTGATGTTTCCTTTTCGGTTCACTTATTGGTTTTTCCAACTTGTCCCTTGAATTTTATGTGGAATTACTGCCTTTTTCGGACCGCATGTGTTTTTTGGCTTCGGTAATGTCCCTCTTCCGATATATTGAGCCAGCTACTGTCTTTACTGTAGAGGATGATTCTAAGACCGCCCACCCCTTTAGCGGATTGGTTACGGCTTTTCCGCTTTTTCTGCCTTCATCCTGACTGGGTAGATTCGGTGAGAGCTTCACCCCCTGGAGTTCGAGCTGATCTTCTATGAAACCATGAGTATAGGAGTTCTTTCCGAAGCTCAGGATTATCGTGCTGGTTTCGTCGAAAATCCGGCGCATGTCATTCCCTGATGGCTCTGGTCTCTCTGCAAACCACTGGGCTTCAACTAGACTCTTCAAAGTTCGGGCTCGTTCCCGATCTCTGGTTGATGAAATCTGCTGCTTAAACAGCGGGCTGACGTCTCTGCTATTTTATCTTCTTTTGGTTATTTTGAAATTCTCCAAAAATTGATCAATTCTGCGCTTCAGCTGCGATGCTGTGAGGGCTGATCTCTCCAGGTGCTGTTTATCTAAATTTTCAGAGTTGTTTAGAACTTTATCTTGTAGAATTTTACACTAAGTTGGTTTTCGTAAGCGTCCAAAATGGGCTTAAAATGGCGAACATTGTATTGTTTATTGCTTCGTCCATCATAAGTCTCGTTTTTTTGTACTAAGGCGAAGTTTTACTGATAAAATGTTTCCATTCAGTAGCATGCGACCCAGTCTGCTTTTTATTGTTTATATCGTTCTATCGACTAAACCGCACTCCCCGAGGTCTCACACTGAGCAAAATTTTTGTTCTATAACATTCTCCGTGCAAAGTTTTTGCATTGCATTTCCTTTAAATTTTGAGAATTGATCGGTTTTGAATGACTCGGGATAGCCATGCATATTAATATACGCTCGTAGACATTTAATTGATGAGTTTGCCCCCGTGGATTTTGTAACTTCAAACGACGGAAATTTCGAGTATCTATCAATTGCCACTTATAGATATATGTTTTCCCTTATGATCTTCTAGTGGCCCTGCGTAATCAATTTGAGCTTCCTGACCCGGGTGCGTGAACAAAGGCAAAGGCATATATGAATAAATAGGAATGACATTCTTAGCATTCTTGCTATATCTGATGGAATCTCTGCATTCATCCACTAACCTAACGATATCCTTATGCATATGGGGCAACCACAAATAATTTGAGACATCCAGCATGGCCTCTTGACCAGGATGTCCACGTTGTATCCTTTTCATCACCACTGGTCGAAGTTGGGCTCGCACAGGTAGGTGGTTGCCAACCAGTAAGCAAACTTCAGCGACTGCCATTTGTTGCCATAGTGGGTTTGTGTAGACTCCATCAGCTCTAAGTCGTGGCGATCATTCCTCTCGACGACCCATCCACACGTCTTCTGTGATCAGTTCTGCCAAAAGACTTTTCTCAAAAACTCATGGCAGGTAGAACATTCCCTCTTCCGTCTGCCTGCTGCGCGGGCAGTTGTGGCTCTTGTTGTCTTGACGTGTGACTAACACTCTTTCCTGGTATCACCACGCTCACATCTGGACTGGTTTTCTCATATCTTACTGTTAAGTCAACTTCGACTATTAAAACAGCTCCTCGATTGTTGCTTGCTCTGGTATTCTGGTTACTGTTAGTATAGTTGTTATGGATCATTTCTGAGCTGGCATCTAGCTTGAATATATGACCAGGTCTTATGTAGTCCCAGAAAAACATCAGTTTGACAAAGTTGATTGTGTTGCGTCCGGGTTTTTCTCTCTTTTTCCGAGGTCACGTTCGGTATGTCCGTCTCTGAACTTTCCGGTTCTGATTTTGCTAGCTTTCCCTTCTTTATCTTCCTTGTTCTCTAAACTGTTGTCTTCGCTACTTTCTCCACTGTTATGTTGTCTCCAAGCTCGCATCCTTGCTCACTCCTCCTGTCGTTGATTCTCACGGTTTTTCTTGATCTTTCACCTTACATCCTGATGCGTTTTTTGATCTGAGTTTGCCAGTTAGACTTGCTGCATTTTGAATGAACTACGAAAAGTAGTTATTGCTCCCACGAACGACCTAAGTTGTTTCAATGCCTTGGGGGATTTCACTGTACAATGGCCTCTGTTTTTGTAACTTATAGTATAGCCCCGCTTGATGATAGATGGTGACCGAGTCAGTTTACCTCGTTCGCAACAATTTCGATTTTCAAAGCCAGATTTTCTTCATCCACTTTTTTCATAGGCTCGAAACTAATAATTGATGTTCGCTTTCGTTTCATTTCAAAACGATTATTATATCGTCTAGAAAACAGAAACTGTTTTCGGCGTGGATTAAGGTCCTATTCATGTCTTCTGAAATTCTGAATGACGGCTAGTCCATAAAAACCTGTCAGGAACCTGTAAGTCCCTGTTGATTGCCCTCCGACAAAAATGAAGTTAAATTGATTTGGTAACTCCTCAGTCAACCTCAATTGACTACATGCGTATTTCAGGTCTAATACTGTGAAATATAAACCGCCCGCTGCTTTAGCAGTTGCTTACTCTATCTAATAGTTTGTCTACGTTGGTAATCTGGTACTTGTTTTTAAATAGTTGTCTGTGTATTTATTTCGCTTCCAATGCGATAATCAGTGCGTGATCACTCTCGTAGCGAAGAAAAATTCACTTGTGAACTTGTCAAGCCGTTTTATATGACCTTGCGCTAATATTTTTTCTAATTCAAGTTGTACAATATTTTGGATGTGAATTGGTATCCGCCTACCTTTTTCCTGAATTAGACATAGTGGATACTTTATGCTTACTAAATGGTTTTTCAATTCCTCCTATCAATCAAATAATTTCATGACTTTTTTATAGAAAAAATTCTCTCCAATTTTTTGACTGCTCGCACAGTAGCACGTCAAACATCGAGTTTTCTTTAGGAGCTAGTTTCTGGGTGGTGTTCACGATTACAACTAGTTTGTCTCTCTGTAATCAGGAATGATGCATCCAGAACTTGCCATTCCGCTGAGCGAATGTTTACTTTGGCTGCTCCAGGAATCATTTTGGATGTTGATAGTAGTCAAAAAACTGTGCCTGCAGGTTTAACTTTCGGTTGATACAAACCTGGTTTTCTTTAAACTTTCCAAAATTTGTCTTACTTTAGCCCTAAGGAGAAACGATACTGGGCTGCCTGTGTCTACTGCAATGTAGATAATTTAATTATCAATCTTGACAAGAGCCTTCAGAGAATTAATTTTCTCGGACTGTGGAATTCTTTGTATGTCAATTTTTTTATTACTTACATCATTCCTGTTCTCCTTTTGTATCGTTTCTTTTTTTCCAATCTGTTATGGACCTTTTGTTCTATCTGGAGTTGTGATTGTTGAGAATATTCTATCGAAATGGTTTCAAATTCATCACGGTAGTCAAAGTTCTGTATGATATTGCAACCGTCTTCAGACCTACCTTCGACATCCTCCGCTACTTCATATACATTTACCTGTTGAGAACGACACATTTTCGCAAAGTTGTTTGGTTTCGTACCGTTTTTACACGTTTTCCACATTGCTGGGCAATTCTTTAAATGACCCTCGGTAAACGTTCTGCCGCATCTAATGCAAATTCGTTTATTTTTAGTAGCTCGTGAGTTGTTTCTACATTACTGTTGTTTTGTTTCATGCTGTTCCTTACCTTGCCATCTGCAGATCTGGTTACTGTTCCTAACTGTCATAACAGGTTCTTGTTTTATTCTTGTGATTCAGACGATTGAATTGCTTTCGCAGTATTAGCGTTCTTCTTCTAAAATGACCGTGTTGTCTGTTTGCTCTGTTCACATTTGAGCGTTCTTTAAACACTTCGTCGGGAGATGAGGTTTCAAATGTCAAAGTGTCTTGTAGGGCTGCATTTTTCATCCTCGTGATGAATAAACCTCGTACTAGTAGTTCATCTTCGAGCTTACCCTATTTGGACCTAGCTGTATGTGCATGTAGAGCAGCATGGAATGCTTCCAGTGACTCTCCTGCTTCTTGATGTCTATTGAAAAGCTTGTATCGTTCATACGTCACTCTTCTAAAGCTACAATCTCTTTAAATTTCAGTTTTGAGTTCTCCGTGTGCGAATTCTGCTAAACGAATCTCGTCTTTCCTTCTGCCCCCACCGCTTGTAATATTCTTGACACTAATCTTTTCTGTACTTAGTAATATTACACATTATGGCCAACCTTCGGCCTCTTTTTCTTCGTTGTTCGTTCTCCCTTTGGACTTTGTCTCTAGCCATTATTTCTCTTTCTTCCCTTTCTTTCACGGCCATAGCATCTTCACCTGTTCGTGGCATTTCTGGTTTTAGTTCTGAATTTTTTATGATCGGTTTTGGCTCTTATAGTAACGTTTCGGGATCCACTTTCTCTTTCACCGTCACTGCCATGATAAATTGGTCGAGCCAAATTTCAAAGTTTCATGGCTGATCTGAACTCGCTGTGCTCCCGACTACGGGAATTCCCATCTCGGTTGGGTTGTCTTGAGACAAGAATCCTGCTGGCTGCGCCTTATGATAACTGATGGAAGTTTTGATAACTCAATTATATAAAACTAGTGTTGCACAACACTTGAATTTAGACAGTTTGTAATAACGTCTTTTTCGTAGCTCAGTTTTACTAGCTCAGTTTTACTACGCTGTATGGCAGGACTGAATTTGCAGTTCTTCTATTTTAGAACGGCACAAATGGCCTTGGAAATAATAGTATACATATTATGTAAATGGATGACTGCAACGCAGTACTACACCCTCCCAAAATATCGACGTTCACCCACTGTGCTTTGCTTTAAACATTTTCGTCGAAATAAAGAAAATCATCTTAAGTTAGATTACGAATAAGTACAGAGATTGATTAAAATCCGTATCAAAAACTTCGATAGCAGTAATTTAACTGAGTCGAGCTTCCAATTAAAAACAAAAGCCCCAATTTTTGTTTCACCATGACTTTATCGGTTTTATTTTTTTAAATGCATTTCCAAAGCAAATCCTCTTTTGAACAAGTTTAAACGCTTTCAAATAATTACCTGAAATTCCCAGTACTGTCATTGTGATAGCAATCCACCCGAAACATTTCTTAATAGCCATCAAAGTATTGTAAGTGTAAATTGTTTGAATTTAACAAAAAATTTGAAATTTTTAGCTTGTTTTTTTTTCGAAGATGGTTAGTTTTTGGGTGACTAATCAAGATGGCAAAAGAAAACAGCTTAAATTTTGACCGGCATTTAACATCATGGATTTAATTTGCACGATATTACCCGAAAATTCAATCTGAAAAGCTTGTTCTTAAGTTTACAAACATGGCTCTAATTCTAATAATACAAAACCTACTGGCTTATCTTTGACTCGAGCGTTTCAAAGATTTGACCTCGAGCTTTTAATCTGGCTAAATAAAACTTGCCAAAATTGCCCAGAAGTCTATCAAAAATTAGTTCAATTAAGTCAAAAAAGTTTTAAAATATATTTTTATTAAAATTATACACAATAACACTTTGGACAATTTGAGTATGGCTGGTTTTGACAATCATTTCGAGATAAATTAATCAAATTTTCATCCAGTGTGTCTCATGTAGCCTTAAATCAGTTTAATGTACCCGAAAAAGTCAGTTTTATGATTAAAATTAGGATTTGATTGCAGATTAAATGAAATCATAACAGTTCTGGTAATTTTGTAACTTCTAGATCTAAGTTAAACTTAGTTTTTGTTCAAAATAATATTTTTGTAGGAACTCAGTTTCAGTTCTTACAGTTTTCTTCGTTTTTTTGTAAAAATACTGGTTCTCTTGAAATATCACCTCCTCCACACCCCCCTTTTGATACTCTCGAAAGAATTGCCACCCCTAAGAAGAACTTATTCCACGGTTAAGTTAATATCTGAATTTAACGAGTCCCCCCAAATGTAATGAAGAGGGGTAGTGAAAAAGATACTGGTACTGTTACTGAGATAAAAATCTTTAAAAAACACAAAGACGAAGAAAAACAAACTTTAAAGGATTTGTAATGAAGCAAAATGTTATCAACAAGATGGAAGAAATAGAACAAATTTAATCAGGAGACGCTGCGTGCGATAAAGTATTGATTGAAATTGTCAGAAAAAGAGCAACACCTCAATTCGTTCATGTCGCGATGTCCAAGTTGCAAAATGTAACAAATACAATTATAACTTTTAGCAAAGTCCATTTTAGCGCATCAAAGAAGTCACATCAACTCCCGTTAAAATCACTCTTTCTCCAGCCTCTAAATGAAAACAGCCAAAGAAAATTGATCAGTCAACTGAAAATCTTCCCCATATAAGGTAAAGCAAATTACACTACAGTTTGACTTACCTAAATTTTGTATAAACAAGGACTGATCAACCTCAAAATATGTCCCGAGAAAAAATTCGATGGATGAAAAAAAGAATTGACCAGATCACCAGGGGATTTAAGGGAGGCGGAAGACACCCCCCCTAATCAGTGATTTGACCCCCTGCGACGCAAAACGCGCGCGGAAAAAAACGCAATCTTTTGGTCAAAAGTTTCCAAAAAAAGCTTAAAAACCCCTTTTTTGGCCTGTTTTCTTAATCAAAAATTTGCCTGTGCGGCGCAGAAATTTTGGTCAAAATGGGATCTCTATAGTGATTTGGGAGAGCTCAAAAAATCAATTTGGTCATCTTAGATCCGCCCCCCTGGACTAGATGCTATGCTTGCAGAACATAAGGTTTCCCTACAACCATACAATGTTTCAACATCGAAAAGTTACTCAGTAAAAAGTATTCAATTATCTAACAATAATAAAAATTTTGAAAATAAAAAACGTACAATGTTCTTTCTTCCTGAATATATAATTTCCTTAATTCTCACATAATTAAGGAAACTAGATAAAATTGTTTGTCTGAGCATAAAAATGATATTGCGGCTAAAGTAAAACAAATTATATTCCTGAACCTAGGATTTTGGGTTTTTCGCAACATTGCATTTATTGTTTATCAAATAATGATCAGATATAGAAAATATATGACAAACGTTTTCTTATCTTCTTTGAGAATGAAATTGTAGGATAATCTTTTTTCTTGGGTGCAACTGTGTGTTAGTGACTTTTGTGCATAAAAGTGTTAAATACTTGATTTGATTTCGCAGCTTCATTTTGATCTCTGGTGTTTGTGCGTTTCTGAAAATGGTGTTAACAGGTGAATTTTTTCTTTTTACAAAAACTTCGAATGAATTAGAAATGGAAAGTTTTCTATTAGCATCCCTATTTGTTTCACTTGAAAGTTGGACGAAATATATAAACTAGATAAATTACGTAAATAATAGTTGAACATTTTTTAAAGATTATTCGGTGGTTGGCTATATAATACTAAAAACTTTAGCGAAATTTTCTTTTCTGCTGATTATGAATTCAAACAAACGACTTTTTTGCTTTTGAGTAAACAAAGTAATTTTTAAAGCCAGAAAAAAAACTGTGAAGAATGAACATATAGCCAAATAATATTTATTAAAGTTGTCAATTGAGAACAGGCTTCAATTCATGTAAATTTGCGAAAATGATGAGTGTCAAACTGTGTAAACCTGATTATCATAAAGAAAATGGAACGTTCAACTTTCACAAGTCACTTTGAGAAATTACCTTTTGAACATAAATTCCTTAGAAATCAAAATCAAGAAACATAGGTTTTTAATTTACAAAGGCTTAAATATAAAACTATACATAAAGTTGCAACATAAAATTGAACGAATTTGTATTAATGGTTCCTTTTTTCTATCATTTCCTTCGATTGATAAATTTTGGCGAAAAAAATGCAGAAATTTTTTGTCATGTTGAAGGTAGCGAATGTTATGTTAAACTGATCGGAATCAATTTCAATTATCATTTTTCATCGCTGTCGAGATACAGAGTTCGAGCCAGTTCGAAACACAGTTGGCATTAACAACGGAAGAACAAAAATTTCATGAAAAATTTATGGCAGTCAAGTTTTTCTCCATTCGGCATTTAGCCTGAAGCAATGAAATTAACCGAATATAAAGAAGCAAGTAAGTGTGATTGCTTTTGATCTATTATTAAATCAGCTACGGAGGTTGAAAATACATGCTATTTGCTTCACGGTCAAGGGGAACAATTTGTAGAAAAACTGAAAGGCTCTCAGCAAGTACTTCACAAAAAAATAAATAGGCGCGTAACAGAAAATTTGAATTATCATCTTGTGTAACAAAAAACTCTGGAAAATCGTTACATTTTTGTCAATCACTTCTTTTCTCGTATAAAGCTGACGCCTTGTAACATAACTCCATGTAACTGTTTAGTTTTAATTATCGGAATTGAACACTATTTAAAACTGCCAAAGATGTTTTCGTTATCTCCAAAATGTTTCGATTAATGAACTAATGGCTACTCTTTTGAGATTTTATGTTTTTTACAATTGTAATGAAGCCTGAAAATCGGCTTTCAAGTGGGCACTTTATTTACAACTTTTTTTGTAATTGTAAAAAAATTTTGTCCAAAAAGTTAAAACTTCTAACGAATGTAGTTAAAATGCATAAAAATTTAGAAGCATCAAAAACTTCTCGCTAGTCCTTTATTATAAAAATCTAACATGTAGACACCAGAATACCTGATTACTTTTTGTTTGGGACCATTTTTTTCCGAAAGAAAACAAATTGTCAATGATGTTAACCAAAATTTTTTTTTGAAATTTCTCATTATAGAGAAAATTATGCGAGGCTAGGCAGTTTCAGAGTATGGTTATGATGTTAGGTTCAAAGATAGTGAAGAGCAGGAAGTTTAAAAGCAGAGTAGGCAAAATGATCAGGATATTTGAGCTAGGACAAACTGATATTGCTTTCAACAAACATCGTATGGACATGGTAAAACTAAACCTCCAGACTAGTGTAGGCTATGATGCAGTACTTATTTTGAAAGGAGGAGTGTTAGGTCTTGAAGAAATGACTTCTCACTTTATAAAGAAGTCACTTCCCACTTTTTTGTTCAAAATAAAAACATGATTGGATAGTGCACGATATCACGCGATGTCACATCACGAGATCAGATCTCAACACGCGGTTCGCTTTCCATTTTATAGAAGTTGATTTTCTACTCTTTTATCGCTGTCTAATTAAACGGTTGGTTACCTAGTTTTGTTGCCAACCTATGAAATGGTATAAAAATCTCTTAAAAAGTTTATTTCAAATGACAGTCTTCCCATCGTTGATTGTTTTTGGTTTAAAAAATGTGTTTGTGTTTGGGTCAAGGCAGAAGCCCAATACCGAAGCAGAAGCCAGCAGAAGAAGCAGAAGCAGAAGAAGAAGCCAAAGCAGCCCGGGTTGACAAAAAATGATTGTCATACAATTTCATACTATGAAAAACTGCTTTAATACTATTTCTTGCTATTTCATTGACTACGAAAGTAGTATGAAAAAAGCAAAATAAGTATTTCATAATAAACATAAGCAAGTTCGATAATACGCATTTTTTTACACTCTTTAAGTCAGTCCTGGCTTTTTTTAGTGTTTTCACCCCAATCGGGATAGGATGAAAATGGAGTGAAAATCAGTTTTTTTATAGAATACATTTGTATGATAGATATTTTTCACACTATGAAATTGTATGACAAGCATTTTTTCAATTTTATGAAATTGTAGGATAATCAATTTTTCATGCCTTGAAACTGTATGAAAATCATTTTTATCAATTTTTGAACCTGGTTGCAAAAACGTTTTTCGCACATTCTTTGGAGTAGGTTTTAAGTAAAGATTTAAGTAAGTTTTAAGAAAATGGGGCTCTTTTCCATTTCCCCCCTGGAAGTTTTCGGAAATTCAATATGTGGAAATCTAATTTTAAAATAACTTCTCATGTTAAAAACTCCATCAAAATGTGTGAGAGTGAACAGCATTTCTCATATGCAAAAGGTCATGTGAGCAACTTTTGATCAGCTTAATTGTGGAATTTTTCGAGAAGGGTGGGAAACTGAAAAAAGAGCCGAAAATGGTATGTTAAGCAATTTTGTACGGTCACCAACCCGTTAGAAGCGAGACACCCAATTAGAAGAAAACATTCACCTAATGTTGAATCGTTATTTTTTACAGCAGTAGATTTTTTTCATTTGATTTGCGGGCTAGCAAATTTAGAAACAAACATTTGCTTGCCGCCTAATTGGATCAATAACCGCCAAAAATTCCTAATAATGTTTTTTCTTTATTTCAAGTTCACTGTTCTTACATTACGAGGCGAAACTGTGCACTAGATAGGAACACAATTTTGGGTCTGTATGTTCCGGGATTCCAAAAACAAGACTTCGAGAGACAGGAAGTTAGAAGTTAGAAGTCAAAACCTTAGTGGATTCCGCGTACAAATAGCTGTAACGTAAATTTTGTCGGCACATTGATTTTCTTGCGGACTCCGCAACGAGCGAATATAGGTGATTGTTCCGGATTCCGCAAATGTTAGTGGATTCCGCACATTCATGCTGATTCCGCTTACAATTTGTGGAATCCCCTTCCAGTTTGCGGATTCCACTTACAGTTGCGGATCCCGCGACAGCCTAAGTTTACTAAACACATGTATTATCATTATTTGTTCCTTGATTCCACAAACTGATTCCGGATTCCTCTTATTTTGTTGCGGATTTCGCAAAAATGCCTGTTTTTGGAGCGATTTTGAGCAACACAGTGTTTTAGCTATTTCCGCGACAAATCTGATTTTTGCCTGTTGCGGAATCCGTTTACAATTCACAAAATGCACAGTTTGGCCTCGTAATGTAAGTTGGCTGTTTTTTTTCTAGCCTTCTGAAGATTTTCTTTATGCCTCATAATCATAGAAATTGAAGACTTGATGAGTGCCTTGCTGGCATTTAGTGAGTATAAGTGTCATATATTGGGCCATCAAGTGGCATCTGAAGTTTAGGACAAACTTAGAATCGCTACATGCTGCAGTGTTTCAGCTTTTAGCTCAAATCTGTTTTGAATTTTTGATCTTGAAACATCTGAAGTTGCAAATATATTAAATCAAATAACTTCTCAACATTAAAGATTGCAAATTAATTTTAGAAAAGAGACTTAAAAATTTTTTTTACTAGACAGAGTTAAGCAATGTAGGTAACTAATTTTCACCACGAAATATTCATTTTTTTTGTAAAATCGTTTTCCAAACAGAATATTTTAAACAACAGACAAGGATCTTGAAATTATTATCACCCAAACAACTCAGTCTGGATTTTGGGGAAACAATAAAATGGACTAGGCTTGGAGACTGGATAAATTTCATTCAATAAGCTAAAAAAATTACCTGATATGTATGCTATGAAAATAGCGTCGCAGATGCAATGAACTTTTCGGACATTTTTGTTCAAATTATGTGTCAACAACTGAGAAGTCTAGTTTAAATCATAATTCAATTGTAACTTATAATTTTTATTTTATTTTCATATTTTTGTGAGTTCATCAAGAAAAATCATGCAACTTTTCTTTTTTCTTGTATCTAATGGTGTGAAATGATAATTCAGTATGACTGTTTCAAATTGTTTTCTTTTCACACTCCGTAATTTCCCATCCAGAATCGAACTATCATGTAGAAAGTGATGATTTCATATGCCTTCGGACATAATTATTTCCTTTATTCCGACCTAATAGAAGGTTCTCTATGACAAACTGGTCGTCTTGGCATCAAAAATCTTATGCCAAGTGGAATCTCTATTTAACGTCTAGAGTTTTTCTTCAAGGCCTTCTTGCAAAACTCTTAAAAGCTATAAACTTCGAATAACTATTTTTAATTTTTTTGTTTTTCAGGACAAGTTAATTCGATCGGAATAAAGGAAAAATTATTATCCTTTTTCCAAGCCAATTTTTTCTCTGCGTTCCAATTTGATCCAACTCGGTTTTCCACTTGGTTCACGATGCATTGGCCCAGCTTCTAAAAAACGAGTTATAAAGAAACAGTGTAATGTATTTTTCCTCATTGCAGAATTAAGCAATCGTAGAAAAACAAGACCATCCGCGACAAAATGGATGGAAATCAATTATCTATAGAAAAATGATTCCGATCAATTTTATTTTATACAGTAAAACTTCAATTAAAAACTTCTAAAAATCGGTTACAACGCATTTGGTTTTGCTAAATTTTAAACAGTATATATTCAACAAAATTCATTTTCAAAACACACTGTTTTTCCTGTATCAAAATTTTATTCTTTAAAATATTATCCACAAATTATTTACAGATTGTATACAGAGTATGTACGGACTATGAAAGTTTTATTTACAGATTATCTAACGACTTTTTTTCACAATACATTATCTACAAACTATATCCAGTTTATTTTCAAGATATATACTGATCATATGCAGAAGATTATACACAGATTTATTGTAGATTACATAAAAATTATCTGCAACTTTTTTTTACAGATTATACATAGATTACATACAGAGTATGTAAGGATTATGTTTTATTTATATACAAATCGTCACCTAAAAAAGATATACATATTATGCACCAACTATTTACAGATATTGTACTTATTGTACACCGAATAACTTCCAATTATATTCAGATTATATACCAATTTTTAACTATTTTTTTTGCAGAATATACACAGATTTTATGAAGACTGTATAAACTTTGTTAGCAGATTATATACTGGTTTTGTCTATTTTTTGCCCATGAACTATTATGAGTAATGTGAAAAAAAATGCAATGTACGCTTTTCAGTTAATTTTTTATACTGGTGTTCAAGCTTAAAATCTATCAATTATAAAAAAAGTAAGTTGCAGCCAACAGAAGTGGTTCCATGTTTGTTTTATTAATTTTTTGTCGATTTTGTTACACAATTGACATACAAGGTTTTTCATAGAAACTGTAATTGACAAAGTTCTGCAGAAAAGTACACCGCGAGAAACCTTAGATTGATAAACCTTAGCGGGATCTCCTGAAACTTATACTTTTTGGTAATATTTTCTCCTCAAGTGACTTTAGCTTCCTCAAACACTGACGCGGTTCTTCATGACTAAAAAAACAAATTTTGCTAAATTTCGTAATAAACTATATCAAAAAAGATGGAGGCTTAGAGTTGATCTTTTTACAACCCCTAAAATTTTTTGACATCAGAATCGATTCTATGTGGATTATATACATATTATATACAAGTTAACTACAGATTACGTTCACATTGAATACATAAGATTTACTGATTATATACAAACAATATCCATATTTTAAACAGACTTATTTATATGGGACTTTAACTGATCATACACAGATTAGTTTAAGATTAGTTACAAGTTTTAAGCAAAGAAACATCGGTTCTTTAGACACTAAAATTACTTTGTTTTTACTGGAAAAAAATTGCATTCTTTCGGTATATAATCAATTATCGCTCTCAAAGTGCTTGTATATAAATCGATTCTTTAATTGCGTTAATGTGTTCGATTTTTATCACTGCGGGAATGTAAGTAAGTGTTCAGGGCAAATTTTATTAGGACAATTTTTTAATATTCCAAGTCTAAGAAAAATAGCTTGAATCAGCACAAAGCCTTGAAAGTTTGGACCGCCCTATAACGTCTATAGAATTTTTTTTCAAATTGAAAAATTGATAAGACTTTTGACAGAAATCGACAAAAAAATTTTTGAATGATCAACGCTTGTATAATAGTATCAAAAATAACTAAGAGCTTCAACTCAATTTGTAAGAAATGTTTTGCCCCTAATACGTGGTAGAACGAAAAATTTTGTGGTTTAATTAATCCAATTTGGCCAAAGTGGCTATTTTCAGAGCCGCATAGCTTCAAGAAAAAAGGTCAACGGTAAAACATCTTTTCTTTTTTGACAGCACAACCTCTCTGACAAAACTTGTTTTTATTTCATTAAGAAATCGATGATCAAACTGTCTAAATTTGTCAGGAAAAACAAACCACCTTTGTCTCAAATACTTTGTCAAATTGTTGGAAGCAGGAAAATTTTACAACGGTTATTTGAAGAAAACAAAAAATTGCATACAAATTTCTTTTTCTGCAAATAACAGTTTGACTTTTGAGGAAAACGACAGAATACCTATGCTTTGCGTTAGATTTTTTGGAAATAATTTTTAACTTTTTAATTAGCAGTTTTTGACAGAATATAAAACAGAATATAAAACAGGAATCGGTTTCAGTAATATTTTGGGTGTTTGAAAATTGATATTTTGGGCGCTATGAGATAAATGAGAAGCGCTATTCACGTCTTTATTTCTCGTAACGCATATCGGTGTTGACTTCAGAGCAAATTTTAGCGCTGAATAAGTGTAAAATTCTGCTTTTTTCCAGTTTCCCTCCCACTTTCAAATTCAATTTTGAAAAATCTATTTAATGTTGTCATAATGCAATGAAATTTGGCGTGGTGATCAAATCGACAATTTTGAACAGATTTGTTCTTCATACTTTACACCGTAACTTCACGCATTTAGCCGTAATAACAAGTAAAACAAATATAAAACTCGTTATTTTGAAAGGGGGGAACTGGAAAAGAGCCTAAAATTCTAGATTGTAACCAGCAAATTGGTCAAGTCCAGCTCTTATCAATACCTCATAAATGTTGATCAAAACTGTTTCAGCAGGTATTAACGCTGATTTATGCTTTTTTCACACCAATGCAATAAATATTTTTGCAGCTCAATTGACATAAATAACCTTTGCACCATCGTCGCAAAGTTGACAGCTAAAAACTGGCCATATCCAGTGAATTTGCACCCCAGCAGAGAAATATCGTGTTCGAGACAATCTGTGTATCAATTTACGATAAATATTGCCTTTTTCAGCGCTGAATTACTTATGAAACGATAATATAATACTGAAAACTTAATACTGAAACAAACGACGCTGAATCAGCGTGAGATGACTATCAATGATAGCTCAATCAGCGAAGATTGTGAGCTATTGAACTGAGGCAATTCAATTTTTTCAAATATCTCGTCCTGCATAAGAAAAAAATCTTTTTCTGATTTCCTTTGCGTGTGGGGGAGTTTTACAATCTAATAAAAAAAAGGAAACGTTTTGAAAGCTTTCAATTTATAAAATCATTAGAGCAGTTTTGTTATTTTTTGTAATCTTCGCGAAAAAAGTGTAGCCACGAAGAATGAATGCAAAAAAATTTGAACTGAAAAAACTTGTTATAGGTTTTTGCTGCTTTATAGCGCAAATTTAAGAATGGCTCAGATGAGAATCTGTCTAAATTTTTTTCTCTTATCAATAATAACCTTTTTGACAAAATGTTTGTCAACTATTTTATGGGAAGACTAGGAGACCCTGAAACGGTGCCAACATAAACTTGAACGAAGCTTTTTGCATAAGCACAAACCTTAGATGTTTCTAAAGATGTTTCTAATGACATCTCATAGATTGGCAGGCGTATAGCTTAGTAATTTTAAAAAAATCAAAATTAAGGAGCAAAAATTTCTAGAAAAAAATCAAAAAAAATAACTGACCTCGTAGAAGTGATATTGTACCTTCTTCTTGTTGTGAAGAGAACCTAGATTGGGGCTATGAATTCATCACAGAAAAATAAGTGCTAGCTTTTATCCACAAAAGCTCACCGATTCCCTATTTATTATAAACTGATGATAAAATAATCTCAATTTGTTCTACAGATTTAGTCTGATTACTTTATTTTTCAATTTTTGGTCTATTTATTGATTTTTTCCTTTTTTTTCGCCTGATTGTTTTGTTCTTTTTGGTTTCCGTCATTTATTTTTCCGATGAGTAAAATAGCGCCAACCTAGATAACTCAATTTCTCTTCGTGTTGCTTTATTCCATTTAGGTCTCTCAGACATTCAGTCAGTGCTGTTCCAATAGCCCTTGCATGATTTTTGAAGCGAGGGTGGCTTCGTTGTTCAGTCCCTGTTCTGTTGTCGTTCACCCACCCGAATATCTTTGTAACTTCTGGATTTTCGTTGATGAATCTAGAAAATGGTTTTCAGGTTTGTTTAAATAAAAAAATATATACATAATCAATAACTTATCAACTTCAATCATATAGGACAAAAAGTGTGAGAAAAAACAAAACACTCACTTTTCAACAAGATGGTCTGACACTTCCAAAGAAAATGTTTTATTTTGTGGAACTTTGGTTAGTGATTTAAAAAAAATCTCGGGTGAACAGATTTTGAATTAGTTTTGTGCATTCATTATCTAATTTGATTTGTGTTATCAGAAAAATTCGAAAGTCTTTGGTTTTCTATGGAACATTATCGCACGTGATTTTTTTGTGTTACTCAGCAGCTACTTTTTTGAAAACTCAAAAATTATATATACTTTTTCCTATTAAGTCTGCAGCTAGTAATAAAAAAACTTTTCAAGAAAAAAACGCCGTGATATTATTGAGGAAATGAATCAACTGAAGTAAAATAATTCTTTGTATTGCGCAACTTTGTATCCCTTTTTCATCAAAAAAGTGTCACAAAAAATCATTTTCGTATCAATTCAAACCTATCACTTTTTGCCGGAGTTCAAACAATACCACAAGTTTTTAGTACCACAAGATACATTTTTTGAAAAAAAATAGTTTTTTGGATAATTCAGTAAGAAATTGGATATTTGCACCCAGTGCAATTTTTTCTCTATTTTTTACAACTATCAAATTGAGATTGTATACACATCTCGAACGTTGATGTTTTTGAGGAAACCTTTGTTAACTGTGAAGACCTGAGAAATGCCCATTTTCTTGCAATACGTACGCGGCGATTTCCTCTGCCTCAGAAATAAATCGCAAAATCATCTGCCTCGGAAATGAGCTTCACTAAAAACAAAATCGAGCTAAGTGAAGCTAACAACTTTGAAAAGTTTTAATTCGAAAGTGTTAGAAAAAAAACAAAAAGGACAGTTGAAAAAATGATTTAGCCTGGTTTGATCAATTTTTTTTGGTTACAACAAAAAAAAGTACAATCAAAAAGTTTTCATGTAAGCGTTTGTTTATTTTTGAAGAAAGTGACGGAACATTTGTGCTCGGGATGTTTTTTTCCAATTCAAAAGTAACTCGACTTCTCCAATTAAAATTTTTGAATAAATATTTGATATCTTGAACTCAAATTTGTGAAGACCGTTTTTCTTTAAAATTTTTTGTGAAAAAATTGGGGGTTTGAAGTTTCCAATTTAGGGCTAATGTGTGACAATCAACGCGCAAATTTTTTTAGCGAGTCAGCGGTTAATTAAATTGCTCCAACATTGATGCAAAATGAATTGAGAGAAGTTGTTTGATACGTCAGTAATTACTAAGAACATGAATTTGAACTTGACATAGCGTGCGGGGTAATCGAAAATAAATCCGGAAAAAAATCTCTGTTTATATTTGTTTTTTGAAAAGTTTTAAGATTTCTTTTGGATAATTTTTTCGTAAAACAATTCAAAAACAATGAAGAGTAGTTGGAAAACTCATTACTCACTGTTCCAAAACATCTTCAACAAACTCCACAAAATTTGGCATCAAAATTTGCATATCTTCAATGATCAGCTCATGCTGTCTTTCTGTGACCACCATAGACTCCTCAGTCGCCATTTTGGATGGCTTAAATTTTTTTAGACTTGATGTCGAGTAAAAATTCGAAAGCAAATTTAAATACAAAAGAATATCTTGTTCGTCAGTTTTCTAACTTTTCTTTAAAAGAGGGAAGATTTAGTTACACTATTCAGAAATCTTAGTTGGTTCAAAAGGCCTGTTTCCGGAGTAAATGCACTTTGGAATGATTATGAGAGCAACGTTTCCTGTTCTTATTAGCGTTGGCGGCAAAGGAAATCATAAATTATCCCAAATTGAATCGAGGCAAGGCGATTGTTTTTTTAGTAATGTGCGCAATACAAATTATTTTCTACTGAAAATTGCGCTACAATTTCACAACCAAAAAACTCTCATTATATTAACAAACTGATGTTTGTCTTACCTCAAAAAATTTTACAAACATATTATAAGATTTGATATATTATTTATAGGATTCATAAGATTTGATATAAAAAACAAAGAAGATCATACTCGTATTAGTAGTTTTGGTAAATCATCATTTTGGTTGTAGGTTTTTTCTAATAGTTTTGAACTTTTTGATTGATTAGTTTAAAAGAAGAAAACACAAGCTTGCTAAGGTTAAACGGCAGAATAAAGATGGTGTCCATTTCTCTAGAAAAAAAACACAAGTGATTTCCTTTCACCAGCACACGTTTTTTCAGAGTTCTGTCAACAGATTTTTTTCAAATTCACAATTTGCAAAATAACTACTCTGCGAGTTAACTTCGCTTAAGGTATGTACGACAAAATCATTTCTGAAGAAAAATATCATAAACTAATCAATGAAATAGCTTCAGCCCGCAAGCAAATGGCGTTGATAGTCCGTATACGAACAATTCTTATCCCATTTGTGCAACTTAACACAGTAAGGAAAAATGCTGTTCTGATTCAGAATAAGGTGGCGGAAAATGTATGACTAGGTTTTTTCTGATTTTGTTAGTGAAATTTTGGAGGTTTGAAAAATGTTAATTAGGGCATTTCTGGATAATCAGCTTGCTCCCCCATTGATTTTCTGTTTAGTAGAAGCCACCAAATGTAGCGAACTACACGGCTCAGAAATCAATCCAAAGAAAGCTAATTGCTTCATGTGCTAGTATTATCATGTTATTTTTATTTTGTGCTAGACTTTATTTTTTTTTGGGAAAAAACTGAGTTATAGAATAAGTTTAAATTAAACACCTAAAAAAAGAAGTCAATATATAAGCTGCGCCATCATACAAGCAGTCATGTTTAGCCAGCAATTTTTTTCTGATTAGATCTTCCTATTTTATTGGCCATCATAAAAGCTAGGCGACGTTTTTAAAAGATTATTAAAAAAATTCTGCCGTTTATCCATCTTTCGAGTCCAATACTTTTCTCTAATAGTTAACCATCATAACTTATAGACTAATTTAAAAGTTAAAGATGCAGAAATGAACAGCTAAGGCTGAAAAAATTAGGCGAGTAGCGAAAATAAGTTTTGCAAGAGACGCTGAAAATGTTTTTATATAGTTAGTATTAAAACTTTCATATAGATAAAAAAATCAATTGCTCACTCTTCTAGAAGATCCTGTACATACTCATCGTAATTCGGCTGCAGCTTTACAAAATCTTCCAGAATCAACTCTTGTTGTCTCTGAGTTACTCTCATTGTTTCTTCTGTCGCCATTTTTGATGATTTGTCCAATAATTCTCTGTTCAATTCTAGATTTTTTTCGTAAAAATTTTCACAGTAGATTTTTAGGCTAGATTTTGTGATAAGTTAAGATCAAATTTATTGGTATTTGGAACCATTAGAAACTGATGTTTTCTCTACTGGAGTGTAATTTGATAGTAGGAGTATTGAATTTAACAAAGTACAGTTTCTGAATAAAAAAACGTTATTGTCCTAGCCGGTCAAATTTCTCCCAAAAAAAGAAACAAAATAGATCTTTCAACAAAATCTGACAATTAAGTTATATTGTTTTTCACTTTAATGACAGTGAATTGATACTCTTAAATCGAAAGAAAGAATTCTCTTCCTGAGTTTTTCTGAGCGAAAAAAGGCAAATTTGTAAAATTTATTTCATTAAAATCGTTTTTGTTTCACCCAATTATTTCGAGAAATTTTTTGATTTTTGTTTTTGACTAAATTGGCAGCTATAGCATAACTGATGTAATCACTCAAAAATATTTGTTAATAACGTGTTTATCAATTCAAAAAACTACAATCTTGAGTTGTTGTCAAATGCTTTGTGGTGAGACTTCAGCCAAAAAAAGAGTCATCTTATACAAATCTGCACATCAAATCTTATAAGCGCCAGAAAAAGCAAAAGAATGTTTTCTTCTGTTTCGGAAACTCTATTTTGTAGGATTTGGTTTTTCTTATCTTTGCGACGCTTCATGTCGAGTCAAGATGCTCTAAATAATAGTTTGGTTTGATCGTGTTTTTAAACAAATCAGAAACATCTAAAAAAAATTTCCTAGTAAAACAGCATAATTTATGAGACGCATCATTTAATAGTATTTTTAGCTCTTTTTTCTTCCCCCCCCCCCCCCCCCGCCTCACACGACCATCAATTTTTAGGTCTAACGAGTGGTTTTACGAGGTTAAATATGACGACCAAATATGTTTGTCATGGACTAATTAGTCTGCATGTCAATTTTCATGACAATTGGACAAGGTGAACAGTAACTTTACTTATAAAAAGTTGCAGGTGGGGGGGGGGGAAGGAAAAAGAGCCGTATTTTTTTCCATAATTTTGAAAAAAAAAACTAAAATGTTATTTATAATTACGTAAGGTTTTGTGAATGTGTATGGGTGTGTATGGTTGCGCATAATCTTTTACAGTGGGCAACCCAGTCCTCGTGCTCTTTAAAAATAGGATGAAATCATTGCTAATTTCAGTGTTTAACTGTGTGTAATGACTAATTTTGTCATTAAATGTCTGAATGATCATTACAAGACAATTTTAAAAAAAACGAAATCAAGTTACGATCATGCATGGGCAATTTTTTTTTAAAATGATCATGAAATTTACTTTGTGATTTTCAAAAATTGTTCTTTTGATTCATATTAACTATCCAGAAAATGAAAGCTTTATTTTTGATTGACTTTGCCTGAATTTCACAAGCTGCCCAAACTTTGGTCATTAGAAATTACAGAGTCGTTTTTCGTGCGAATAAAACTATTCGTGAGCGCCCGTCGAGACGAAAATGAACTGAAAGCTGAAATTTTTGATGATCGTAAAAGTAAAACCAATCAACAATAATGAAATCATGATAAGCATTACAAGAATAGCTGCACAGGTTTACTAAAAAAAAAAACACGTTTTTATATGTTCAAGCTTAGCGTTGCTTTTGGTATTGGGGAGATCGAAACTGATTCTAACCTTTTGAAAAAAGCCTTAAATGAAATATATCATAGCATTTGAAAACTGATTAACTGATTCCATTCGTTCTAATTCACTCAACAAATCAAAAAACACCAAGCCCTTTTAGTTAATGCGGGCATAAATGATGTGCCCCTTTAGCTCGCTTTTTTATTAACGCGTAGCATATCGCAGCAACTTGAGACGGCTCCAACAAGATTCTAAGCAGAACTTGCGCGAGCTAACTGGTTCAACTTATGCGTTAACAGAATCAATAAAAATTACTTTTAGACAAACTAATTTTGTCGACCATGATAAAATGAGACGTGTTTGAAAAATTTTTGCTTCTTCCAAAACAATTTGAAAAATTCGTGAAAGATGTAGATTACTTTACAAGTTGATAAAATTGAAATACAAAAAAATGTTCGTATCAGGACAAAACACTGAGCTTTCCGACTGCGCTCTAATTTCTATGGATTAATTCAAAATAATGAAATTTAAAAAATAACATCGTTTTTTTGATGATTTTTTGCTACATATTTTAAACCCCCATACTAAAATCTCAAAAAACTGAAAGGTCACCACAGATTCATTAGCACTATTCCAGCGATTTTCCTTACGATAGAGAGGCCCAATGATGGAAATACTCAACCATCAGAATTGTTAGGAGTTACGGTTCGCTAACTCGTTTTTGCAAACATTCGAAGTCACAATTATCAGAAGTATTGTAGAATAAAAACTGCGTTTTAATTACTATGGAGCGACTTAAAAAAATAACAATGGATGAAATTTTTGAAAAAAAAAAACTGAAAAAATTCATTTTTCTTGTAAAATCGATTTGAGATTAACATCCCAATTTAATCAATTTTCCCATAAACACCAAAGTCTTAGTTTTGATGAAAATATTTAGCTGACTGAATAAATATTCACAGCACTTTTTTTTTAAGTTTTCGGGCTTGGAAACATGATTTTAGTGGCAACGAATTACAAGTAATCATGTTCAAAACGATAAAAAAAAAACTTCTTTGAGGTTCTGTTTGTTTTTCCTCCAAAAGATGTTTAAAAGGTATTTGTGAAACAAAAACGATTTTGAATGCATGATTTAACTACAGAATCCATTTAGGAAATCCATCAGCATTTCACTGATTTTTTGTACTACTGAAATTCAATTTAACATTATGTGACTCATATTGGATATTCGCAGATTGGTTACACCGAACTGTGACCAATATGAGCAGAAAATCTGTTCGAAAATTGCTTATCTGATTTCTTACATACTACAAAGTATAAACGTGGTAAAATTGAGTGTAAAATTTCGTCCGATTGAGCAAGTGAATGCACAACCCGAGCTTTTTGTTCCGACTTTCGATACGAAAGTAACGGAATATTTGTGCTAGGGGTGGGTTTTTTTTTCTTCAGACAAATTTCGACTTTTTAACTAGCCATTTTTAACGGAATTTTTTTTATATCATTCGAAAAGTATTGTTGTCCTGAGCTTGAATTTGAAAAGATATTTCACTTATGATCAATTTTCGTTAAGTTCTGAGGGTTTAAAGATTGCCATTGTGGCCATTTTGACCAATTTGGGACAATTAACGCGCGATATAATTCGCGCTATTAACGCGTAAGCGGAGATTTAATCCGTCTTATAAATCGTTTCAAATTGGTTGAACGAAGCTTATTTGCAATAATTGATTTGTTACAAGGAACGAAATCTATCTTTTTGTACTTTATATGGCGTGTGGGGGGATGATTTTCATTTAAAAAATTCAAATTTTAGAAAAAAAAATTTCGTTTTATTTTATTTCATTTAATTTTTATTATGTTCTTACTGCTGC